CTTAGCACACCTCTGTTGTCACTTAGCTTCCCAGGGCTGGAGGCTAGGATGGGGATCTGGCTGTCTTGTTGGGGTCTGGGGTAGTGGGATGCTTTGCTCAGCGTTGAACGTAGGTGGCTGCTCATCATCAACATAGCAGAAAGGGCGAACTCTGGGAACCGGTGATGGCTGTACCCCTTGTGCAGCAATACCGGGACCAGAGTGAATAGGGTGTGTATGGGGAGTGTGAGTGGGTGTCTGGCGTGCATTTTTGTGAGTCTTGGGTTGTATGTGTATGTGTGAGCATGAGGGAGGGAGTGTGTGGCTGTCTGTGTATGGGGTCTTGGACTTGTCAGGTGGGGTCTTGGACTTCTCCCCTCTCCCGGGACTTCTTGTGCTACTACACATCTTCGCTTACTCTCCCCCTGCCACACCTGGTGTGGAGTGTGGTGCCTTGGTCTGCCTGAGTGTTTGCGGCTCCTGGGTCAGGGGGTTTAAGATTTTTGGCATCTGCCTGATCAGTCCCGGTGGCTGCGTGGTGGGATCTGAGTCCCTGGCCTCTGTTGGGTCCCTGGCAGGGCTGGTCTCCCCTGGGTCTCAGGTTACTGGGTTCTGGGCTCAGCCTGCTTGAGGGTGGGAGGCTGCGGACGGGCCTGTGGGCTTGCCGCTGATATCTCCTGGGACTCTGCCGGCTACTGGTTGTGACCCCCCAGGGCAATCCTCTGCGCCACTTGAGAGGAGGCTGGGGCTTCTCTGGTTACTGTCTCCCTGGGGTCCCTGCGCTCTGGGGCTGCTCCTGGATCTCTGGGACTTGGAGCTCCCTCCATCTCCTACACATCTTTAGGGGGTAGATCTGTGACCCCTCACACTCTCTATTGGACGCTATAGAGAAACCTTACATATACAAGCACGTGTGCGCACACAGGTGCTCATATGGTGCTCTCATAAGTATGGACTTGGGCATTTTCAACACGTCTTAAGGCTATGGTTGGCACTAAATGCACTGTCATTTATTATCGTGTGATTTTTCAGTAAAACAATGTTTATTTTATATTTTCTCATCAGGTTGACACAGCGATAGCTTGCTCTAGTTGTATTGTTGTGTGTCCCCTTCTTTTTTTTTCTTTTTTTTCTCTTTCTCTGCAGGTCTAGAAGCAGACTCTTGTTCATCATTGATTGTTTATTTAGTGGGAACTCCCACAGATGTGGGCCATTGATTGCAAACAAGATTAGTTAATTTGCAAACAAAAAATGGTTTTCCTAACAAATCTATTCAAGCCCATGTCGCAAAAATGAGTACACCCAGATTATAGTCATTGGAGAAAAGTCACATTTAAGACTACAAAATTAACAGGCATTTAACCACAGGTGAGTCTAATGATTTATTTAAGAGGTGTCCAGCAGACAGTTGACTATTAAAGGGCGTTACTTAACAAAGCCCTTCCCATTTCTTGCTGTCAGCAATAGCTCCATGTGGAAGAGAAATGTCACAAAATCTGAGAAAGGAAATCATTTATTTACACAACAAAGGTGAGGACTACAAGAAGATCGGCAAAGAATACTGTAGTAAAGTGATCCAAAGGATGGAAGTGCAACCACCTTGCAGAGACATCCAGGCCATCCATGGAAGTTAACATCTCCACAGGAGCATCTTCTGATGACAAGGGTTGATGAAGAAGGGTTGTTCATTGAGCTGCTGATTAAATTTGGACTTTTTAAAAGGGGTGTACTCATTTATGCTGAGCACTGTATCTCAGAGAGACAACCAGTTACACACACACACACACACACACACACACACACACACACACACACACACACACACACACACACACACACACACACACACACACACACACACACACACACACACACACACACACACACACACACACACACACACAACTGGCCAACTGGTCTGCCCAAGGACATCAAAGAATCCAGAGGACCCACACATGCAAACTTATAAAAAGGCTACAGTTAGGATTTGAACTTGTGACCTTCTCACTGTGAGGCAACAGTGCTACCATCTGTTGCATCGTGCAGCCTGCCAAAACAAAGACTAACTTTCTTTTAAAAAAAAGTGAATTAAAGGGTTAAAGACAAAAAACTGTTTTGTTGCAACCAATCTGACCAGTCAGCTTGGTCAAAACAGGAAAGAGAGATGACCTACAGAAGTTATCAGCTATCAGTTACAAGCGTTCATTTATCTTTTTGAATTGTTTTTTTTCCAAAATCACTTTACAATAAAATACATTTTAAATTTTAAACAATTTGTTTTTTGGAATTTCGTGCCCCCTAAAATATAATTGGATGGTAAAAAAATAAAATAATAATAAGCTGTTAATATGAAAGAGAACCAGTGCCACTCAGAAGGGAATAAAGGAAAGAAAAGCAAACTTTTTCCTCAGAATTCTGATTTTTGAGTTCAGAAAAAAAAAGTCAGAATTTTTTGTTCTTTTCAGGGACCCTAATCCCCTTCCATATGGTCAAACAAATAAAGTCTGTAATCATGACATTAGTTTGTTTAATAGCCAGGATGGAGGTTTTTATTCTTATTTATTTTAACAACATTTGAGAATTTGACACAATTTATCAGGAACTATGTTAATTTAAAAAAGGTTTCTTCTGTAGGATTAGAAAAGATTAAAATCGGTTTAGCTGAACAAAACTGTATTTTCTCATGTGAATTTTTGTGTAACGTACCTGCTGCAGAAACAACAAGTACTCATTGTGTTATTTCTAAATGCTGATGAAGAGGATTCTGCTGATCTGAGTTGATACAGAGAGCCACTTTTGGGTCGCAGTTTGTTAAAAAAAGAAAAAAGATGGTTATCTCCTGTGTTTGTTTTCCACAAGCAGCTGGGAACACTGATGAGTCATAAAAAGGAGGATGCTCCTGACCAAAAATGGCAGCAAGGGGGGACTCTGGACTTAGCTGGGCTTGAAAAAACCTCCCTCTATTCCACACTCTCAAACAAAAATGTTATTTTTACCAAAGCATCGTGAGAAATTGATCATTTTTTAACACATACTGATATATTTTAGCTTCTGAGCCTCTTCTGTGCATCTCTACTCTTTGATTTCTTGCCCATCTCAGATCTCTCATCGCTGTTCTCTGAGTGTCTCTGCTAACACAACAGGTGGGAGGTCGCGGAGTCGCAACCTAAAGCGATTTTTATTTAGTTCCTGAGGTCTTTCTCTAAATATAGACTAACACTAAAACCCAGCAGAGCAGGATTACCAACCAGTTCTCCTTTTAGCTTTCGTCACTTTGCTTTAATCTGAACTCTGAGCAAGAGTTCAGTTTCAGAGTGTTTGATCTTCTGGTCTGACAAAAATGAGAAAGTTGAAAGAATTCATAATAAAAAGTAATTAAATGTTATTATTACTAAACACTCTTACTGCTCGGTGAACAAGTACTCCCTCCCTTCATCTGTTCCTGTGCACAAAAAGGTTTCAGACCAGCAAACAAATGCATGGGGGAGTTCCACAACTGAAACCTCAGGTGACCAAAAACAACACAAAGGCCAGTTTCATATTTGTCCATGAAAAAAATGTTAAGATTAGATTTTCTGGACTATCAGACAAATCTAAGTGGAATGTTCTGGAAGGTGACCCAGAGGATCGTAATAGTCAAACATGGTGGTGGTAGTGTCTGGGGCTGCTTTACTGCTTCAGAACCTGGATGTTTGCAGTAAATAACTGAACCACGATTTCTGCTCTCAACCAGAAAATCCTGAAGGACAATGTGTGACCTTTGACCTGTGGCAGGCTGTCAATGTTGGTATTGGACAGCAGTAGCTCAGGAGGAAGAGCGGGTTGTGCAGCAATCAAAAGGCTGCAGGTTCAATCCCGGCTCCAACCCGAGCATGCTGCTATTGTGTCCTTGGGCAAGACACTTAACCCGCCTTGCCTGCTGGTGGTGATCGGAGGGACTCACCTCTGTCAGTGGCAGCTGTGGCTACATTGTAGCTCATCATCACCGGCGTGTGAATGACTTGATTATGCTGTAAAGCGCCTTGGGGGGTTCTAAGATTCTAGAAGGCGCTATATCAAATGCAGGCCGTTTTCTACCATTAATGTCGGCTCAGTTACAGGTTGATAATAGCTTACAAATGAAACTGATTTGAAATCTGCCTTTCCTGTGCTGTAAAAACTTTTAAAATAACTAAAGGACCATACAAATGTGGGCGTTGAGTGTGAAGTTTTACACTTTCCTCATCTCTTTTTTTCCTTAAATAACAAAAATATGCCTTAGATTGCTGCTCAGATGCTCCTTTAAATTCCTGCAGTTGTGTTTCAGCGATCTGCTTGTTTGGGTATAATCTGTATCAACAGGAAATTCCAGAATCATCCCAGGAAATAATCCTTTCTGTTGCAGTTGCAGAGAAAGATACCTTTGTATTTTATTTGAATCAGTTTAGTGTTCTTCTTTCATAAATGAGCTCGGTTTAGCCATACAACGCTGTGAGTCGATCCAAAGTTGACTTTAATTATCATCTGAACAGCTGCACCTGTAACTGCCATGATGATGATGATGATGATGATGATTTTTATTATTATTCCAGTTAATTACAAAATGATTGTTTCTGTGTTGACACAGTTGTTGGAGAAATACATCTCATTCAAGATCGAACTTTTTCTTCAGTTGCAATTTTCATGCATACGTGTGTGTGTGTGTGTGTGTGTGTGTGTGTGTGTGTGTGTGTGTGTGTGTGTGTGTGTGTGTGTGTGTGTGTGTGCGTGCACGCTCTGGGTACAATGTAAGCTGCTATTTGTGTCTAAGCCGTGCAGTGACTGGCACAGGTGTGAGCTCCACACCACATCAGAACATTTTTAAAACGAACCCTGCAGGAAAGACGGTGTTGATGGTAAAACAAACAGTGATCTATTGGAATGAACTCCCAGAGGGACTACTCACATTTATTATAGCGATTTAGAAGATTGGAAAAATATATTCAACTAACTTATTTTGTTGATTTCTTTCCCCGTCTCCTTATATCAGAGGCATCACTCACCCTGGAGATGGTCAGGGGCTGGTTGAAGTCCTTTCCTCCAGTCAGGCGGAAACCCCAGGGTGGGGGCCCATCCAACACAACATTTACTGGCATTTCTTTTTAAACCTCACCGATGTTCAGAGCAGCACACAGGGCAGTGTGCACTGCTGGGATAACAGCACAGAAATATAAAAGTGATGGAGAATCTGAATCATGAAGAGGGGATTCAGAGGGAGGGGAATGGAAAGATCCCACCCCAGGACTGAGGTAATTGGTCAGATTTCGAGACCAGACTGTCAGCCTGTCCCAGGACTAACTCACTTCTCCTGGCTCATCTCTTCAGAGGGCAGTGTTATCCCTCCTAAAAAGGGCACAGCTTTAATTTTCTTTCTGTTCCTCTGAATCTCGCTGGTGCTGAGACGCCAACGCCGTGAGACCAGAACAAAGATGGAAACCAGCCCTTGTCAGAAGCCAGCCAGTACCAGTGCTTCTCGTCTTTTAGACTCTCTGGGGTCTGGCTGGCCTCCTGCTCTGCTTGATGTGTCTTGCTGTTCCTGTCCTTATTTGGTCTGAAGACAAAGCTCCCTTGGAGGCCCTGGAGGTCTCACAGGCACATTCCAGCCACTATTGATCTGGACTGGACCCAGACTTCTCACCATAGACCTGACAAGAACTTAAAACCAGTTTACTTGCAAATCAATGTTTCCTTCAGGGCTGATTTGTTGAGTAGTTTAGACTTCTGCATGTAAAGTACTTCATATGGCCTCCAAAATAAAATAAACTATATTACCATCTCAGGATCTTTTGTCTCTGCTCAGATTAAAGCTTAGAATATTATGACGGTACCAATAGCCGGGTTGAATTTCTGAGTTTTGTTTTGTTTGCCGTCACTCAACACTTGGTCCTCCTTGAATCTTTCATGTTTGGTTTTCATTTTAAGGTGCTTTCCCCTGAAAGAGCCAAGCCACTTGTTATTCTTCAAAGGAGGATTTGATCTGTTAATAATTATTCTTCCACAAACGTTAATGCGGCTCCAACAGCAGCATGCGCCCCAGAAATGTTTCATTAAAACTTTCAACTGTCATTTCAGATATATTTGCTTGCAAATGTTCATAATTAAAATGATTACAAATCAGGAAGTTGCATATGTGAGGCCATAGCAGAATGTCTTCTACCCCAGCGTAGCTGCTACTTACCGCATGGCCAGATTTAAAGTTTTTTTCCAATTTTAATGCTTCATCTTTTGTCCTGAAAGGATAAGAAGCTCACAAAACTCACAGCTGTTTTTATTCTTATTGTCTGGTTTGATGACATAAAATTTTGGAGATGATTCGTTGTAGTCCACTAAGTTTGATCACACAACATACATCATATGGGAAATATATGGCACACATCAAAAGAGATCAGAAAATAACTTTTATTGTTCCATTGACTCCCATTCCATTCATTTTTTTAGGCAGTAGGGGACCCATGGAGCTGAAGTAGATGGGCTTGACTTAAGCTGCTTTTATAAGACACACCGTGCAAGTCAGCATAGTGCTGCAGCCCCAGTGTGTCTTATGAAAGCGTCGTGTTGACATGGCGATGCAGGAATTTTGCAGCTTTCATGCCATCAAGCTTGGTTATAATATTACCTCAACATCAGAATTGTGAATGAAGATTACGCCTTGGTGCAACAGAGGGTGGTGCACATGATCACATGTGAAACGTCCGTTGAGCCAACAAGATTGAAAATGAAAGTAAACATGGGAAAAGTGTGGAGAACAGACACCTTTAGGAGTGGCTTGTCAAAAAAAACAACTGAAGGAGTGTGATTTCGATTGCAATAAAAAACAAGTTATGTCCAAGTTAAATGAAAGTCTGTGGTGGAGCAGATTGCCCCATACCCCTTATACCACCATATTTTGTGAAAAGCAAATGAACGTGCCACATTTCTAGCAGTCTGGCCACTTATGAATGACCAAAGGCTCCCTGATGCAGCTTCAGCTTTGTGGAAATTGGCGTCATTGTTTTATGAAAGAAGCTTCAGACTCCCTCTGTGGTGACCCCTAAAACTGCTGGCCATCCCAGTGGCTACACCAGATAAGACAAATGTTCTCATATTAATGTTCACATAAAAGTAAAACCAATAAAAAAAACAAAAGAGTAAATAAATAATCAGATTTAAAAACGTAATTGTTTGTCCTGCTCACCAATTTTAAAACAAAAGTTTAAATCCCTATCATTTGCGTGCATGTGTTTGTGAAGACATCAATGAAAGTGTTTTTAAAAATTCTACCAACAATTTTTTACTTTCCAAATAACCGTTTTTTTTTTCAGAAAAAAAAACTGTTCTTCAAATATGAGGTAAGCATGTTTATGCACATTGTATTTTTAATGAAAAAGAATAAAGGAGCATGCAATGCATCACCATAGGCTAAGCTTTCCTAGAGATACCACACAAGCCAATCTTGTGCCAACCCCAAAAGTGTCTCTCAGCCAATCTGACCACCCCATGAAAATGATCTGGGGGCGCCACTGGGCTCTCTATGTGGAAAGATTGGTTTACCCCACCCACTCAGTCGGGACATGAATCAGACTTTTTGGTACGCTAAATTAGATAGCCCAAATTGGCTATATTCATCAAGTTAAATGTGAAATTGAAATTCTAGGACCGCTTTAAATACTTGGTAAGTGCTAAACATCCCATAAAACCTGTACTTAAAGCAGCTATAGCAAATTTAGAAAACAAATTAGCTTAAACATTGTTTTCTAACATGTATAGCTGAATATGTGTATAAAGGTGTTCTCTTACATTTGTCCAAAACCTCCACCAACAGCACAGCTTGGGCCAAAAGCAACTATTGGACCATCGTGTAGTTGGTCTCGCCGAACTTCCCTGGGTCCGCCATTCATACGCACTTGTGTAGTTAGCAGAACGCTACTGATATGAGAGGTTTGTGGCTGAATGCTAAGAAGAAACAGCCGGCTGCTAACACTTCAACTTTAGGACAAACTACCAGAATCCCAAAAAGAAAAACACCAATTGAATTCACTGCAACAAAAGATGTTTGGACTTGGAAAATGGCAACTGGTGTTTAGAGCTCTCTCAATTCCTCTGGCAATGCCGGTCTCCAGTTTAGTGAGGGAAGGAGCGGGTGTTTCGGGACCGTGTTTCCATTCAAAACCAATAGCTTGTTTACAGATTCACTATAACAGCTTTAAAACGTTGGCATTAATCTCAGGAGTTTACACTGTTAGCTAAATGTCTCATGAATCGTTGCATACATTCGAATAAAACTTTTTTGAAAGCAGTCAGATGTATGATTGATTAACTTTGAATTAAACTTGATTCAAAATGGCCACTACTGCTAATCAGTAAGCTTCCAAATGTTTGAACGTTTCACAACATCCATAATGCTTCTGTAGTTTTATGCTTCTTCAGCTTGTGCCCCAAACAAAGGCTTTGATACTTACAAACACAACCATGGACATACCTACATTCTCATATGTTTCTTTAGTACAAATGTATGGCTTTAAAAATATTTCCAGCAGCATCCCATCCTTAGCTGCCTTCTTCAGTAAAGAACATTGATCTAATAAGAGAAAAAAATATATACATTATCAACCAGCTAGATTTTATTACAGCTTCATAAAAATCATCCAGGAATGCTACAATATTGTAGAAATACTTCAGGTCCAATAATGTATGTTATGTTTGATTTAACCATGAATATCATATACAACTTATATCTTTATTACACGAGAAAACAAAGAGTCAAATTGTATTTTCAGTTCAAATCTCTAGTTCTGTTCAAATCAAATGCCTACTGTGTGTGTTTAAGCACTGAAACCTCATGTTTTCTACACACTATCATACATGAACATGTTTTCTAGACTACATACACATAAATTATTGTTTTTCTTTTTGCATCACAGAACATATACATGTACATGGCTATTAAATTAGTGAATTGAATATAAGGCAGCAGTCACCAACTTCACTTAACCTACAGTAAATTCACTCTAAACCCCTCATTGGCTCTTAAAAAATAACAAGAGACCTAATGTGGAACTCCACAGATGAAGACAAAATGGGAAGAAAGATGAAACCAAACGAGATGATGGGTGAGAAAAAGCTGAGTTTATGAAGTAAGTGAATGCTTGGCCATATTACAGCGGATACAAAAAGGCTTACAAAAACACCACAAACATACACAAAGTGTCCTCACAGCAGCTGACACGGTGAATGAAAGGAAGTGATGTGAAAAACTGTGAATGACGGCAAATCTTAAGGTGCTTTAACAATAGTTTTGTTGATGTTCATTTTTCGTGTAAATGAGAAAAGAACAAAAACGAGACAGACACAGGTTGTTTACTCAGCACGGTGAAATAATATGGGAAAAAATGCATTTGCTTAAAGACCAAGTTCACTTGTTTTTAAAAATATATTTGCAGTGGTCTCTAGTTTAAATAAATGACTTGTGAGTCGATACCTGTGGGAAACAAAAGCTCTAGCGCTCCTGTTTGAGTGAGCCACAACAGAGATGAGCAGAACTCGTCAGGATTTGGAGTCTTATTTCATGATATTCAGACATTTTGCATCTGACTGGCGAAAAACAATGCAACTCTACCACTGACTCCATTTGCTCTGCAATGTTGATATTTCATCTCCACAAATAACACAAACCTGAAGGAGTTCTGCCATGTGGTGGAGTTGCTAATGCTAATGGTTAGCTTCTACTAGTTGAGATGTTATGTGCTCTCTCCTAGACGCTAAACAAGTGGTTCTCAATTAGTGGAGTGTGAAGGTAAGGCACCCCCCCCACTGCTCTAACCACTGCTCTAACCACTGCGTCACTGCGCAGCTTGCAGAGAAGTGCCAAAAATCAAATGCATCCTAGGTGAGACTTCACAGAAAATAGTTGAGAAACACTGCGATAAACCAACAACAGTTGGTCAGTGAACTTGGCCTTTAAAATAAAACCCACATGCACCCACACGAACAGCCTGAACCTACTCGATCTGACGTCAGGATGCTGTTTCACAAGTGCAGCTTTTCTTCCATAAAATCATTTCTCTTTTCTCTCTGAATATTGGACACCTGACAGTTGTAGTCCATCAGCCAGCAGGTTCTCCATGTCCTTAAGACCCTAACGGCCTCAAATGTAAGTTAGCTGCTGCTACAACCCAACAAATAAATCAACATGGCGCTCATCATTTCTAACATAACCACACAACACAGTTTGATCAACATTTCATCCTCTAATAAATATAATACCTAAAAGGTAAGCATACACTTTCCACACGTGACATGTCTCCTGAAGTTCCACAGTCAGTAACGTCTAGCGTGTTAAATCTGAGGTGAGACATAAGATAAAACATACACCAGTCTGAGTAAAGATATTGTTAAAGTGCATCAATCTGAATGTGAAAATGACAAACAAGAAAAGCCTAACATTAAACTATGTGTGGTTTCTAGTTCAGATTTATCATCTGCAATAAATGGCTCTGTGTATTTATGCAGGAAATCTAAACAACCAATAGAAACCCTCGGTTACAGATAGGATTCATACACTATAGGTGGAAACGCGTGGAGGGGATCGATGTTCCGATATGTTGGTTAAATTCCCAAAGTACTGTTCCGACACCCGTCACAATACTGTTTTGTATTTAAAACACTCTTTTGCTCTGAACAGCTTTGGGAAACGCTGTAACTGAACACTGAAATGATCAATAAATGTAACAAATCTCGGATTTTGACTTCAATAACCAAAAATAAAAACAAAAAAGATAAACAGAGGGGAATTTGCTGTTCTTTAGCTGCTAAAATGCAAAAAAAATAATAATAATAATAATAAATTAAAGTGTCACTGCAGTCCTTTCATATCCTTCTGTTTTTCATCAAAAGGTAAAAGGTCACCGACTGGAGCACACAGTTCTCAGATTCTTCATATTAGAAAAATAAATGTAAAAAGTCAAGATTAGAAAACAGCATCATCTCATAGGAGTCTTCCGTTAAAGTTGGCTAGTTGGAGCTAAGAAATCGGCCACACGTGTATGCAGGTACGAGGTGTGCTGCAGCTTCAGGTTTCTGGTGTCCTTTAGGTGCTGTGCTGACAGCGGTGAACGAGTCACAGAAAAGAGGCGGAGCCATGGGAGAGAGAAAGAAAGAGAGGGGGGAGAGTGCCTGGAATCATCTTTATATCTGCTTCACGTAGTTTCCTGGGAAGGTTCCAAACATTTTGCTCCTTCGAGAGGTCCCTTTAGAAACAGCAACGGGAGGAGACGGTCAGAGCTAAGAACAATAACTGACTTCTCACAAGTACCGACTCACTGGACCAAGTGATTTAAAAAAATCTTAACACTTTCAAGGAGATCACAGGTTGTTATGAGTGATGGCACTGCGCCAGCATTGTGTTCACAGGATTATTGCAAACTATTTTTGTATATTCAGTTTTTTAAACAAAAATTTGTTTTCAAGGCATCTTTAAACGAGAGTTGCACCCACATCCTACCATGGATTTATTTATTTTTTGCAAAAAAGTTCCAATGAGTCCATAGGTCCATATCTATGGATTAAATAAAATAAGAAAAATTAAAAAGGAAGCATTGACTGTTTACATTAGTATCAATTAGTGTCATTGGCACCAAAAAATGTAAGTTTTCTCCAGAGGTGTGACCAAGTCACTGCTTTGTAAGTCACAAGTCTTTCCAGTCAAGTCTCAAATCAAAGTCCAAGTCAAAGACAACCAAGTCCAAGTTGAGTCCAAAGTCAATGATGTGGAAGTCTAAGTCAAGTCCAAGTACTTAACTTTGAATTTTCAAGTCATATTCAAGTCACCTGTCCAACTTCAAGTCATATTCAAGTCACCTGTCCAACTTCAACTTAATGACAATAATAAATAAACTCCAGAAATAAAGCTTCTTAAAGCTTCATTTGCTCAAACAAGCAGAAAGTACAACTGAAACTGATTCTAAACAAAGTGCTGCTGCATTTAGCAGAACAAGATCACACCCAGAACCAAGAATGATTTATGATTTTTGTCCATGTCGTGGCGCTTTGTGCTAAAATATCAAATTGCTCAAGTCATCATCAAGTCTACAGAAGCAAGTTGATTTAAGTCGCAAGTCATTGGCGTTCAAGTCCGAGTCAAGTTGTAAGTCTTTATAGATTTTATCAAATCAAGTCAGAAGTCATTAAAATAATGACTCGAGTCTGACTCGAGTCCAAGTCATGTGACTCGAGTCTGCACCTCTGGTTTTCTCCCTTTATCACAGATTTGTTTCCACTTACTGATTTTCTAATGAGGACTCATTTTAAATCATCAACAATACCCACAAATCTTTTATTCCCAAACTACATCTATCATGTTTTCAGGTAAACAGGCAAAAAAAAGAGTCTTGACAGTTACTGTAAAGTCTAAATCTTACCAACAAACCAGCCATCATCACACTTCTCCATCACATCAACAACGTCTCCCTCCCTCAGCTCCAGCTCGTCCTCATTGCGAGGTACGTAGTTGTACAGGGCCTGGTACCTGTGGTGCACACACACACACACACACACATGAACTACCCACAATACACCGCAATTAGAAAACTGCTCACTCTTCCATATCAGAATCACAGTTACACTGAAATGGATTACTTAGTGGCGCCACCCAGTGGTCCAATGTCTGTCCTGGTAAATGAACAAGCATCAACTAGCATCTTTCATGGGGAGACAAAAATGACCCCATTTTACCCAAAAAATCCTCTCCTACTGTTGGCTCTTTGTGTTCAGAGAAGCAAAAGAAAATGCTGAAATGTTGTTTTATTTTCCTCTTTGCTGTGTAAAATGCAAACAGACAACTTTTAGGCCCACAACTGCAGTTATTTCTAATTAATCTCCACATTCACCCCCCAAAAAAGGTCTGGCCTATTAGAGAAGAAGGAAGAGACGCAAAGTTTTCAAATATATTTTTTTCTATAACTTTTGGAAACTAAATTCACATGTTTAACACAAAACAGGACTAGTTTTAATACACTGAAAAAACGTGACTGTAGGATGATCACAAAACTGTTACTTACGGGTCTCCCCCGCCATGTAGCGCATCCTGTACTAACCGCTGTGTCACAGAGGAACAAAAGAGACAAATGTTAAATTAAAAAGTGCTGCTTTTGGCACATTAGTGTTATCAGAAAAAATAAAACTTCTTTGATGGTTAAAAATTAAATAATTTCTTAAGTATTCCTTCCTGCAGAGAGCAAGAGGTGCAGCAGGATTTTAGTAGATTGAAGACATGCCCCCCTACCCTTCGACCCCTAACGGGAGACAGATAGGACCTCCGGGACAAGATGGGGCTACGAGGAGGTTTACCACCAACAACTGGATCCTGCTTAAAGACCAGAGGCAGCACACCTATAACCTTCAGCAATTACAATGACAGCAACCTTGTCGACCGGCTGAACAAACACACGCCGCCAGCATCATCAATCTACATGCTGATGCTGATCTCTCCCATCACACCAAGCAGCTCACCGGGCCATTCTGACATGTTTCCTGCTCTCCATACATCATAGTTAACAGGTTAATATGTGATGCAAGTTAGTATTTATAGTGTGATTAATCATGGAGGCCAATCTCTGACACTAATCAACAGCCCAACTCTTAAACAAACCCAGCTTCACTTATGAATCAAAAGTCTAAAACCATCCAGATATTTTTACCAAATCTGTGACGTAAACCACCAACAGGAGGTAAAAATACTGGCATCTATATCATTATTTAATCAAACATTTCAGCACCAAAGTCACAGAACAGGTTAGATCATTAGAGGAGTCAGAATCGTCACCACGGTACCTTCACCTTGGGGGACCTACGTCCTGGGTGTGACACAGTGGGGGCAGAAGTGGGAGATCGTGGAGAGGAGAGGGGAGGGGAGGAGGCTTTAAGGGGAGATGGGGCAGGAGAAAGGAAGGGTGACTCAGAGACGGGGCACGATGTGGCGGAGCGAGATGAACAGGGAGACATGGGAGGAAGGGGAGACGTTGAGAACTGAGGGAGGGATGGGGGACGAGGAGAGATGGGGGGACAGACAGGGATGGTGGTGTGGTTATGATGTGATCGGGGTGAAGCGGACGGAGAAGGGGGAGGGAGTACGGAAGTCACTGGTTGTGGCGTGGAGTGTTTGAGAAGAGCAGAGTGAGGTAACGGAGTCAGAGAGGCAACTTTGACCTATGGGGATAAAAACATTTACATCCTGGGAAACTCCATGATGGGAATGTCAGACAGCTCCTGATAAAACCTCAGAAGGGACACAGAGGAATAACTGGCTTTAAAATCAAACATCAGCATCGGGAAAGGTGTGGATAATTCCAAACTGAAGATGATGATCAAAGCTTTTTCATTTGGATAAAATCTAATTTCCTTCTAAAGTTTTGTAAATACATAAGTCACCATCACACACTGGTGAAATTACATTTCCTCATTTGACCCCTCCCCGTGTGGAGCGGTGAGCTGCAGCGGTGGCCGCACTTGGGAACTATTTGTTGGTTTAACCCCCCAATCCAACCTCTTAGAGCTGAGTGTCAAGCAGGGAGGCACTGGGTCCCATTTATAAAGTCTTTGGTATGACCTGACTGGGATTTGAACCCTGATCTCCCATCCCAGGGAAGACACGCTACCACTAGGCCCCTGCGAAATATAAAATCTGGTTTTATTAGCTAAATATTTATATTTATATATAAGAGAATTTATGCCTTCACAATAAAAATATCCACAATATGTCAACTGCACTAAAGAGATGTTAGATAACATTAGCACTGGTGTATTTAAACACACAGTTAAAACTTCAGTCATGCATCTTTACATGATATGACTTTAACAGTTTAACTTCCTCACCAAGAAAAAAGCAATGGACATTTTTCCATTTTGCATTTTTAGCTTTGGTGAATAAGGCCTTTAGTATAGTGTAAATTACTACTACTACTAACAAAATAATAACTAACAATAATAAGGCAATGATGATGCAATGTAATAACAGTATACCTTTTCTTCAAACAGCTCCATGTTTTTAGGAGTTTTTTTGTTTAGTATTTATTTTCTTGTTAAGTTCATTTAATGCTTCAGTGAGATGTAGAGCCTTCAGCCTCGGGCACACCAGAGAAAGACGTCATTTAAATAGAAGCTATTATAGTTAATGAGAGTGGCTACACTGGGAGCGCCGTGCAGCGTCTCAGAAGCGCGGAGCCGTGCAGAGTCGCTACAGGTAGGCGCCAGCTCTATTTCAAGTGTCGCCACGCCACGGCTGTTTACCACATTGATGAGTACTTTACAACAGACATTACGACGCGGAACGGCTTCACGGCACAAACCCAACGACAGTTTTGATAACTTTAAAGCACTTACCCATTTTTAATGAATTAGTCTGACAAAACACGACAGCAAGTCTGATCATGTATAAACAATAGTCACTTCCTGCTTCCTGTTGTCAAGTCCTATGTGATGTTGTGACCATCGCACAACTTTCCAAGAAGAGCTCAGCGGCGCGTCCTGTGTGACCATTTGACTTCTTAAAACCGCAGCGCGTTCGCGGCACAGTGCGTCTGTCTCCGGCGTGCCCCAGGCTTTAAGATATGCTCTAGCAACTGGTTGACCAGACCAGAGCTACGATGATAATTCAGGCCCTAAAATGCAAATATTTGACTTACAGTAGATTTAAGTAATCTTTCCACTATAGGAGTTCTGGGAAATTTCTGGGAAGGTGGAAGGTGACAGAGAATACAACAGCTGTCCCCTCTGCCATTCTTTCTCCATACAAAGTCGTCCCTTTACGACGTTTCTAAGATGTCAGCATCAGTGTTGGGAACGTTACTTTAAAAAAGTAATTAGTGATAGTTACTGATTACTTTGTCAAAAAAGTAACTCAGTTACTAACTGAGTTACAAGATTATAAAAGTAACTAATTACCAAGAAAAATAACTACTTAGTTACTTTTTTCATTAAAGCATGCAAGAATTACTACAACAGTGAAATATAAATGACTAATGACTGGAACATAATAAAATGTATGTCCAAATGTTTTTTATAAACCTGAATAATTTAAATAAATAAGCACTTAACAGGAGGAACTACTAATAGGAGCATTACACATATCTAGTCTATTAAAAGGTCACTGTGTGATATTTAACAAGACCCCAATCAGCTAAAATGTAACATTCCAAATAGAAACGCCTGTACAGTATATAGGGTCTCTATTGGTTCTTGAATTGATACAGAAACTGGTCCTTTCGGGACAGCCCTAAGAAACGGAGACACGTGAATGTCATGAAGGTCCGGTAAATATACCTGGAAGTTTGGATAGTGCAAACTGGTTTTTAGATTGCTCCATACTGGGGATGTATGATCTAATCTACAATACAGTTTTCTATATCTTTAGACTTTTAACCAATACAGAGTATTGTGTTTACATGAGGTTGTGGATTGGGTTCAAAAGAAATATTTGTCGGATTCTATTTCCTCTACACATCAATACCCATAAAGATTCATTTGTATTGAACTGAGCAGTAATAATAAGCTTTGTTATATGATACACTCTGGAGTAACTCATCAAAACAAAAAGCCTCCTCTGTGTTCCTTCTGGGACTCTGAAGATTTTTCAAACTCACACCATGCTGTACCTCTGGACTGACTCTCTCATTGAAAACTCTAACACTCTCCTGTTTGTCCTTCATGTCTTCATCCTCTTCCTCAATGAATAACTCCGTGAGTGCCTTTCCTTCTACTGACGGTGGCCTCTGAGCATCAGCTGCTTGTTTTTTCACAGATATCGACTCCTCACCCAGCACAGCAGGTAGCGGCTTCCTAGTGACGGGCCTGAAGAACTGCTGTATGTGAACGCTGTCAGGTGAGTGTTTCTTCTCTGGCTGATGGGATTGTTGGTCTGTTTTCTGTAACCATCTGTTCTGAGATTCACTAATCAGTTCGGCACATGGGGAGTCAGCTGATGGCAATTTTGAAATGTCACCACCAACTGCAGAGCTGGAATCATCCACAGTCATAGACAGCAGGTTGTCATAAGGGTCGTCTACATGCAGCTCGATGTCAGGCACTCTGCTGCTTTTGTTTTCAGGGGAAGATGATTTGTGCAGCTCTTGATATTGTGTGGATGACTTTATGGGAACTGTCTGAGGCAATATTTCCAGCTTATGAACACCTTCGGAGATAAGTAAACACCTGCCACTGTTATGTTGAAGTGAAGCACCGGGCATTAAAGAGGTGAACGATGAATGAGAGTTGTGTGGGGGAAGAGGAGGAGAAGGAGGCGGCGGGGGTGGAGTCGTTCGGGATAAATGAAGGACAGGAGTGGTGTGACGTAAACCTCCTCTCTCTGTAAAAGGTGGTGTTCTGGAAGGTGCCCGACATGAAACAGTTAAGCCTTTGTGTGATGGGGTGGGTGAGACTGCTGTCTGCTCTTGAGCTCTGAGAAAAGAGGTGAGGTCAGCGGGGAGAGGGGGAGGTGTGGGAGGCACGGGGGTGGTTGTGAGAGATCGAGTGGGAGTGGAGGTTGGTGGGTCCAGTGTGAGGGACAGCCACTCATTGGTGATGGCTTGGAGGTCAAGCCTTCTTGGAGAGGGTTGAAGGAAAGCGTGGTCACGAGTGGTGAACGATGGGGGCAGGTGGTAGAGCGTCTCCATGGGAGTAAAGTGAGAAAGAAGCAACAGAGGAGGATAAATTCAACTAGAACTGAGACAAACCTTTAGACCAGGGGTATTTAATTCCATGCCTGGAGGGCTGGTATCAGCACGTTTTAGTGGTTTCTCTTCTCCAACACACTAGAATAAGTGGTTGAGTCACCTGTGCAGCTGCACATCAGGCTCTGCAGAAGCCTGTTAATCACCTGCTGATTTAAATCAGACGCGTTAAAGAAGGGTTAAAACTAAAACATGCTGGATGCCGGCCCTCCAGGCCTGAAATTGAATAGCCCTGCTCTAGACTATCAACTGGAGCCCATGGTGATTTATTGAACATAATTTCCTGTCTTAAGCTCCTATGTCTATCTCGTCGCAATCTAAAAAATGAGGGCGCCCTTGACTTTCTTACCTTGACAGGAGTGGAGCTCGGTGTCCTGTTTTCATGGTAACCATGAGGATCTATGTGGTGGGCAGAGCTCTTGGACGGTGAGCGCTTGACAATGTCGACGTAGGACACAGGGAAGATGCCCTGTTTGTTTGTGCCGGGGATCTTCCCCTCGAACCAGTTCTGATCCACCTGCCTCAGCACAATCACTCTCTCCCCCTGCACACATCCAACACCACGAGGGTGTGTTTAGGTGTAGCACATCAACGCTGCAACCAACCCAGCTGCACATTAGATCTTAGCTTTGAGACGTTGTAACTTTAAATAAACTGTTCAAAATCTTAACTTAGAAATAAGTAAACATAAAAAACAACATGCAACGTTTTATTGTTCTGATCACATTTGAAAACATGGTATAGAAACCTTTCTTAGTGATAACTCCACATTCGTGTCAGCATTGAAATTAAAGCGTGCCACAGCCTCTCCAATCTCTCGAACATGAGCTGGAGGAGGAGGTCGAATTGGCTGCTGCTTCTCTGACACTGGGATCTTCTACAAAAGTGGGGAAATAAATGATGCAACCAAGAGAGTACGTTAGCTGAATAGAATAGCAGACATACAAAAGATAAATTCATCTTGCAGAAACATACACAAGAAACGTTACCTCCACATATGCTATGGGGAAAATCCCCACCTGTCCTCTGTGCTCTCCTTCATACCAGTTGTTATCGATTTGCCTGATGATGTTGACTGCATCACCCTTTTTAAAAGTCAACTCCCTGAAACACAGATGTGTCAGTGAAGTGTCTCTGCATGCAACTTTGACCAATTGGTGAAAGAAGCGAAAAAAAAGTTCTGTAGTCGTGTATGGAAGCTCATTTCTGCTACCATGGAATAAAAAAATATCTTATATCTCTTAATTATGTTTCAGCTAAGTCTTAACAATGTGATAACATCTCAGAATTATGACTTAGCTATTTCATAATTATTATTACTTAGCTAAAAATAATTATGACGGAGCACTCTGATAATTTTATTTATTTATTTACATATCTTTATAAGGAGAATTAACCCCTTGAGATGAAACATCTCATTTTCAAGGGGGCCCTGCACTACTTCAAATCAAGAATGTACAAAACAGGTACCAGACACCATCTTATAATTATGACTAGTTAAGCCATAATAATGAAGTTAGTATACTGAGTTTGTAAAGCATAATTAACTGATAGCTAAGTCATAAAAATGAGATACAATGTCATTATTATAATTTAGCAAAGTCATAATAATTACGAGATTGTGTCATTAAGTTATGTTAAAATGTTGTGGCATTTTTTGTAGTTTTTATTTTAACATTGCCATGAAAATAGAATAAATGTTCCAATAGAAAAAATATTTTGACTTTGACTTATGAGATACCATATTTATTTGGAGTGGTGGAAATGGGCTTCCATAAACTTGTCTATACACAGAAATCTGTTATTAATGTAAAGTAGCTTTAATCATGCAAAAATGTAATACAAAAATCGTCAGAGGGCCTTTAAACATGCCGCTAAGTTGTAACTTCATTTCAATTTTAATTTTTTTGAAGCGATGGATGCAAAAACAAACTGCTTAAAGCATCTGTCAGCAGGATGTTGGGATGTGTTAATGTGCAGGTAAACAACAGCCCGTTAAAAACTTGGTTTACGTTTGCAAGCATGCCTGCATTTATTGCACTTACTTAGCTGTTTGTGCCTTAAAATCATAAATTGCTCTTGCAGGCTGTTTCTGATGGAGGAGAGAGAACAGAATGAGTTGTGTCATCTGTTTATGGGAGACCTAGGAGAGTGGTGAGAAGAAAAAACCAACAGGTCTTACGAGGTTTAAGAAAACACCACTAAATGCAACATATATAAATACTATATGGATGTCCTCTTAAAATAAAATACATCTAACTTTTCTGAGCTGTTGGGGAACAGTTGCCTTATGAACATGAGATTTAGTGTAATTTTTCTGCCTGTTATTACCACACTAGCAACTTAAACAATAATATTGTACCTCTCTGTCAGGAGTCGGCCTTCTGCTCTGAGGTGTGTGTCGTCCATCTAGTGTGGAATAACTCCTCGTGACATCCTGGTCTGTGGTTGAACAATAATAAAGGAAAATTAGAAGTGTTGCCTCAGTTAACACCTGTGATTCCAAAATGGGATAAAAACAAACAAACACTGAATGATATAGTAGAGATGATGCCATTCCAAAGGAAAAATGAGGGAATGATAGGTTAGGGTAAAATAGGTGCATTTTATTTCCATTTTAGGTGGAAAAACAAAGGGTGGATTTGTTCCCCAAATATGGCACAAACAGGCATGCAAAGCTACAAGACAACACAATAAAACAGGTTCAAAAATGCAAAATGATACAAGCAAATGGTAAAAAAAAAAGGAAAAATTGGTAAATGTATGAATGTAAATCTATTTGAATAAACAAGTAAGGCAACAGGAAGGTGATTATATTAAAATAAAACTATAAACCCTCACAAATATTTACCACAAACAGAATTTTTGTTTTCTAAAATTTACTCTTCAATACAATTACGTTTTTTCATACACTTCACAAGTAGGTCAACTCTAAAAAATGACATTATCAATACTAACTTGTAACATGTTGACTTGTAATTTTGAACCCTTAATTTAATCTCAACTGACATATGGGTGCCTTTCATGCTTTAAGGGACAGCCCAGACACCCTAATGTCAGCTGCTTGTATCCGTAAAAAACGTGATTTGATTAAAAAAAAATTATTTTGCTATACCGCCCATCCCCAATCTGGTGTATGACACAAGCACATTTAAGTGGAAGATCAGAACATCCAAATATGAATCATTAAATAACTTGGATGTAGAATCCTATTTTTTAAGAAATACACAGCAAATTCTCAAATGTTCATCTTTTTACAATTGTTTTATCCAGTCAACATATGCGCTTACATGCACATCCAAGTCAATCTAAGTTGATCTAAAGTAATAAACTGGGAGCCTTTATCTTAGTTTACATGTATGTTAGAAAACCGATCTCTCAAAATAAGTCCGTTCCACTTTAGTACAGTAGGTGGCAACATGCCCCCTTTTTGTGTCGAGAATCTTCCGGTTAGCTTATAGCAACACAAAGAGTAAACAAACGCTGGCGGGAGTGAAGCAGACAAAGTTAAAACAGGATATGCGCAATGGCCGAAGTAATGGACGACGACAACACTGCAGCACAGCTTTTTGGTTCGTACGAAGGCACTTCAGCAAGACTAACACGTTTACAAGCATTTAAAAAAACGTCAGTCTATTTAGGGCAACAGTTTGGTTTTCTGATGTGCAAGTAAACAAACTAATGGATAGACTATTTTGTTGTTTCTTGCCAGCATTTAGTTGTCTTCAAAATGGTTAGGTTTTGTTAAGCTTTGACTGCCTGTCCAACATGGAGAATTTTTGTATTTCAAAATAAAATTAACTGCTAGTTAACTGAAAAATAATCATAAACTTTACTGGTAAACAATAAATTACCAGACATTAACTTTAGAATGTTTAGTAAACCCGTCTTCATGTTGAATAAATAGGAACTCGAGAACAGGATATGACAGTGGACAAATACAAAACGGAAACACAAATTAAAAATAAACATGGTTGGAGTGGGTTTCTCCTTAACAGCCCAACTGGTATCATCAGCTTGCTTTTAGATATTTATAGCATCAGAGTAAAGATAAACTCAAGATTTTTTTTTCTTTTTCAGGAGAAAATGTTGCAGAAAAATATACAAAGATAAATTAATAAATTGAGTGATGTCATAGTTCAGTCGATGGAGGCAAAACCATTCTAAGTACTGTCTGCTCTGCTATGTGTAAACTTGTTAAACTTGTAAAAATGTCCTTGTCTCAGTTGGGCTCTAACATCTAGCGCTTTCTTTCAAACAGATGTATGAAAAATATTTGATTCTGTGTGTCTGTAAACAGTACAAAGAGCTAATGTATGTGAAATATGAGATGTGTTGTGTGTTTTTTCTCCACCTGAATAACAGAGACCGTTTCCATTACCCTGCTCGTCTCCATACTCATTATTGTTTGAGGCCTCCAAAAGTCGTCCGTAACAGGCACTGACTGGTGACTGTAATTGTGGGGACTGGAAGGTTGGTGTGGATGGTTCTCCTCTGTATGTCGCAAAACCTGTAGGGCTTCCATCAGGGTACGTAGACGTAGAGGAATTACCCTCATGCCAGCAACCCCTCCTTCCTCGCAAAGAGGAGCTTCTTTCAGGCACGCTTGGCAGAAGTTCAGCCAGGATTCTCCTCAGAATGCTATCGTCGGGTGGCCTTGAGCTTCTGTGGCCTCTCTCTGCTTGAATGTGCTCATAAATGTCTCTCAAGGCTGCATCTAGTGCTTCATAAATGGCCTGTTTTGACTTAGGCCTGCTACCTCGACCTCCGCCACCACTGCTTTTTCTTGAGGTAGGTGGTGAGCCCTTTTTTCTGCGGAAAGGCACTGGGCTGACCAGAAAGGCCAGCTTGGACATTGCTTGCTGGGATTGCGAGGCCTGCTTTTGAGAATGGCTGTCGTGGTTCTGCTCTGAATGTCTCTTGCTTTCTTGTCGTGCTCGTTCCCTCTCATGGCGAAGCATAGTAGTGAAGCGGGTGTACGAGGCCGGGCAGCGACCTTTGCAGGAGCTGATGAGGTGGCGGTGTTGGTAACCTTGGTTCTGTCCTAGACTCTGGTGACTAGGATGGTGATGATGGTGGTGGTGATGACGAAGATGGTGATGGTGGAGGGTGGAAGATCCATACAGGCTTTCAGATGACGTTAGAGAACAATGGTCAAAATCACTTTCACTACAAAATGAAGAACCCTCCACCTGAATGAAATCACTGAGGTCAGATGCGATTGCATCCTGTTCACTGTCTGAATAATCCGGATTAGCTTGCGGGCATTGAGGAACAGGAGGAGCAGGAAATGACTGGCCACGTGCAGTTTCTGGCCCAACACGAGGCTGGCCTTCTGGTGGGCTACGAGGTATGTGATCCATGTTTTTAGGTACAGTCCTAGTGTTGCCATTGTCCTCCTCTAGCAAAGATTCTATTGAAAAACGACGTTTTGGAAAACTAGGTGTGCCACCACCAGCACTACTGGCACGAGATGATGAGCCACCTGGTGTAGTGGTGCCTGAAGGCACCTCTCCATCACCCAGATTAGGCATAGATTTGGACTTCTGAATAAGACGCTCATATTCAGAAATGCGATTTGGCACCATATCCCTTGGCACGTCCACACCCCAAGAAGGGGTCCAAGGAGAAAGACGATGGTGATGCAGATGAGGCTGACGCTCTAGTTCCAGAATGCGAGCGCGAACAGAACGGATGACGTCAGATGGAATCAGATGAGCTCGATCAATCTGGTGCATCCTTCGATAAAGCTGGAGAAAACCTGGAGAATCATGCGCACGTCGCCGATGGGGACGGGGCAGTGACTGAGTGGACGGCGAAACTGTCGAGGGATTTCCGTCACACATCAGCGACCCAACACTTTCCGAGCGTGTGGCGTTTTGACCGCCTGTACCAGAATGCCCATCATTGAGTAAGTCATCACAACTGCGTGACTTGATTTTGCCAGAAGAGGGAGACACCTCTTCTGCACTGCTCCATGCCTCAGCATCCTGGCTTTTTGTTGGCCAACTGTTTGAACAAAAGACAGATTGCTTCGAGGAAGAGCTGCCTTCCTCATTGGCATCTTCGTGGATACGATCAGAGTCAAAAGGGATGGGAGGGAGAGATGTACTCTCGTAAGACCCTGGGGTGGACATATTGTTTAAATAAATGTTGCATGCGTCCCCACCTTTCAGACGTCCCATAAGAGCAGCGTGGTAAGAGAGAAGAAGGAGGAAAGCAGGTTAAGCAATAGTACCCAGTACAAGACTGGTGCCGGGGAAAGGAAAAATAAAGGGTGGGAAAAAATATACATTTACTTGACTGACTTCCAGCAACAGACTGGAGGAGAAGACACAGGCGGACAAACAGAAAGAAAAAGGACATCCAATGAAAAAGAAATTCTGTGTGGGAATACCTTTGGCTCTGGAGGGTGAGGATGGTGAGGAACGAATGACAGGTTTCTTTAGGCTGCTGCTCGATCTGTAGGCTTCCACTGGTTTAGGGGATGTTGCAGCTCTGCTCTGAAACTGAGCATTCACTTGGGAACTTGACGGCTCAGACTTCCTTCTTTTCCTGTAGTCACTGGCAGCACTGCGAAAGAAACATCAGTCTCAACTACTGTCAGAATATTTCCACAGTTAAGTACAGTTTGAAATGAATTTACACTCTATAAAGCCCTATAGTTGCTTTTAATTCACATCTGCTACTGCAATCACAAAGACACAAATTATAAACAAATGAAATGTCAATGTCCAGCAATCACAAATACAAAAGAATTAGAAGGAATCTATATTAGCAAGAAAATATCGATACATCGAAACATCTCAATAATACTGAATTGATATTTAAAAGCCATGTATCCATTTTTATTGACAATTCATATGCAAACGATTTACTCTATTTCTTTTGTGTGTCGCAATTCAAACTCTGACTGCTAGGTAGGGGTTGCATGACTTAATTTTTTTTTAAAGTCGACAGTCAAGTAATGAAAATCGAGTCAACTTCGACTAGTCGTTTTTGACGTCACACACCTGAAGCGGCGGGGGTGGGGGGTGGGTGGGGTCGGTTGGTTCGCTGGAGTTTTTGACAATTAAAATTGCACCCACATTTTCAAAGTTAAACACATTTCTTTTAACAACGGTAGTTTCTGCTTCAGCCCTCTCCCCCCTCCCCCTGCGCAGCAGCCGCAAACTCACTGATGCGCCTGCAGCCTCTCAGAGTTCCTGCTGCTCTAAACATTAAAATAATTATTTCATTTTCTGTTCCTCACTTCTGATTACCTTCAATGGTGTCTGTTTGTTGCAACCACCAGGTACAAAACTAACTTGTTTTTATTTGACTATTTTTCTGTCCTGTCTCTATTATCTTCCTGCATCTCCTCTCAATCCTAAAGAAAAACTGCTATCTGGGTTCATATATATTTACCTTATGAGTTACCTTTGAACTGCAGTTCTAAAAGATCTATCGACCGCAAAAACAGCGGAGTGCTCGCCGGCCACATCAGTTAGGTGCGTCACCGAGGACAAAACGGGTGATGCGCTCCGCTCCACAGCAGCGGGGTGCATCAGGCAAAAATAAAAGACAGAAAACGTAAAAGGAAATGAGCCGCCATGAACGATCTCGTTACATTTGTTTTTGAGTGGTGACACCTGATTTGATAATGTTACTGTGGCCGTGCTCAGGACGCAGATGTCTGGAGCATGTCAACGATCAGAGCTTTGCATGCGCAAGCTGGTTAAGGTTAGGATGGGGGTGAGGGGAAGGTTAAATTGCAAGAGGGAAAAGGTCACAATTTGGTTAAATGTCCGTTTTATGGCGGGTGTCAGTACCGACGCTCTGGCACAGCGCGTCGCCTCCGCCTCGATCCAGACGCGCAGGAGCTCGTCACCTGCTGTCTTTTCCGAGGACTGCATCTTGTCATTATCACGTGACAGCGACTAGTCGATGACAGGCATAAAAAGTCACTATAGAGTGGTGAAGTCGACTAGTCAACTAGTTCATACGACCCCTACTGCTAGGTGGCAGAAGTTTACATTCTGACGGAGCAATGAGATCTCACAATAACACTGGATGTGCCTCGGAAGACATTCTGTCCTAAAAATTGCTAATATTGTCTGGCTTTAGTTTCACAACACATCATATCGGCTCCCCTGTATTGTCATTTCGACTGTTTATGTAATGGACAGACCCTCAGCGCAGTCACCCGTAGGTTTCTGAAGAGCTAAATTGAAGCCCACTGCCATCTTGGCAGCGTCACGCATTTCGCCGTTCATGGAGAATACAAAAATGGAGCTGAGAATGAGGCTGTGAGGTTGGTAGCAAATGATTGATGCCCAAAAAACTCTGAGTTGACGTAGCTATGAGATAACCAAAGCTAACAGAGGTTGGCAGGCACTTCTAACCAGAAAACCACGGTTGAGTGACTCTGCTGCCCTCTGCTTTCTAGGCTGTAACATTTTAACATGAAGCTGAGGCCTTCCCTGGAGCAAGCAGGAAGAAAGATGCCAGCCTTAGACGGCTCATCTCTTAGCTGTCAATCAAATGAACACACCCAATAATTTATAATTTCAAGCTTTAATTACATCTAATCAGTAAACTTGACCTATTAAACAAAAAAAAAAAAAACACGTTTAACCAGGCTTTACACATGTTTATTTCTGCTGTGACAATGACATTTGAAACATGCCGATGGGAGCTTGCTCCTTTTTGGAGCCAGCCCCTAGTGGATGAGGGGAGAACTGCAATTTTGTCACTTTAGGCAGACAGAATTTCTTTGCTAGACTGTGACGTATACTGTATTGCTAGATTCTTGCCAGTGCTAATAGTAAGGTCAAGCTAACTGAAGTGTGGCTAAAGTTGATAAAAATTTCTAATGTTTATTCAAGGCATTTCAAATGTAAATGAAACATTAGTGTAACTTCTCATGTTAATTGCCTTTAAAGCACAAAATCAATGAGGTTTCCTCAGAAGAAAACACACTTCATGTCACTGAAAGGAATTAAGTGGCCTTTTCATCACAACTCTATTCAATCCATTATGTTCACAGAGGAAAATGCGACTGAATAAGCAGGCCAGTGGTGAAAGGGAGAGCTACCGGGGGTGGGGGGTGGGGGTAGCAGAATCAATAGCCTTGCTGGGTTCATTTATTCTGCCTCAGTTAGAGAGAAAAGCATCCTGACTTCAATCACTAAAGCAAACAGAGAGTAATGTTAACCCCTAAATGATCATTAACAGCAGACCAGAGATATTAATGCCAAAGATGAGACGTGGACAAGAGCAGAGTGACACTGTGCTGAATCACAACAAGAAGAGGACTGCTGCTGGAAGGATGGGGGAGGGTGGGGAGGAAGAAGGGGAAGGGGTGGGGGTGATGCAGAAGGAAATAAAAGAAACAGCAGTTACCTTGCAGGTCTCTCTAAAGCCTTGTCAGCAGGAGCAACGTGGAGGGATGCCTGAAAAGATGCAGAAAACAAAAGAGAAGAGTGAGCTCCACTTGAACAAAGACTGGGGGCAGAGCAGCTTACAAAGCACAGCCTGCATGCGGTTGTTGCTGTGCCACAGCTAAAACACTCCCCCCGGGAAAAAGGTGCAGTGGATGCTGGTTCCACATGGCACACCTGACCGAGAAGAGGCCAATAGGTAAAACACGCAGAGCTTACTTTTCTGGTCTCTCGCTCTTGCTCTGAAGGATGATGGCAAAGGTGAAATAGGAAAGGATGTTACAAGCTCAGCTCAAAGAGGCAAATGTTGGGATGCAAAACCTGGCATGGAGCTGCTGGAATGGATCTTGATGGTAATGAATACTCTTCAAAAAGGAAAACCCCAAATTTTATAGCTGCAATGATCTTTGATCCATCTTGAAAGATTGATTATTGAACATGATAAATATTGCGTTGGGAACCCCTAACCAGAAGTGACACCATTTAATCAATACATTTGCAGTGGTCTCTAGTAGGAATGGATATGTGGGGGGTACAGGTGCACCATTTTCTGGAGCTAAACGTCACCAACATCACAGCTGAGCTTCTTAACTCAACCACTGACCTGCAAGTGGATTTATGTCCACAAATTACACAAGCATGAAGGAGCTTCTGCTGTGTGGTGAACTTGCTAATGCTAACATTAGCTTCCACTAGCCGAGAAATTCTCTGCTGTTTACCAGACATTAAACCAACAACAGCCTTCCCCGTTGCGAGTCAAGATGGGTGAGTCCATCAACGTTAAGTGTCAGTGTAACATAGACCTGTCAGGCTTTTCTAATCCTGGAGTTTCACCGTCTGTTTTCTATCAGAAGCTAATGCAGGAGATAGGTGTAGGAGATGTGGGTGATGTTTAGCCTGTAATCAGAAATAACCATTAAAAATGGGTTTACAGAGTTCCACACCTTTAAGAAGGCTGCAGGCACTGATGTACATCAGCAGTTCAGTGGATGATTAAAGCACTGCAATTCCACCAATATCAGGGTGGATTCATATTAAATGTTCAGGCCTATTTAAGTTAAAAATATGTTAACCGAATAACATTCAGACATTTGTTTGAGCTACATGTAGACACCGATCACACAGACGGATGGACAGCGCTGTTTTAAAAGCAGAGGACACCTGCTATGGGAGGCTGGCTGCCCAAGACAGGAGAAAATAGCGTTTTTGTTTTTATTTCTTTTGCAGAGGCAGTACCTAGAAATAGAACTATGTTGGAAAATAATGGAGGACACCCCAGCCTCGGAGTTTGAGGGATCCTAACTGAACAAAAGAAGGCGTGTATCTTGACGTGTGGTTTGCTATTGTTCTTCCATCTTTACTTGTCTCTCCAGAAAGGAGAGAGTGCACCTCATTCGGAAGGAAAGAACAAATAAGAGCCTACTTTGAAAACAGAATCAGCTAAATAACTTTATTGACAATCATTTTGTGTTAGCTACATTGTTTATGAAAATTAAAAAACCCAACATGTTGTCTATCATCCATCTTTATAAATGTAGCCACATTTACTACAACAACATGTTTTAGACAATCCACAAGTAAAAGTCTGATCACTCTAAACAAACAAATATCAACTTAAAACACAGTTTTCCATCTATCTTTGAGGACCTTATACTGACTTCATTGTTGAAAGGGCCACTGAGAAGCTCTCACGTTATTGATCAGATCATGTGGAATCAAAAACAACTTAAAGATGGATCGTGCATTTGGATTTACCTCAATGCGCTGGCGAGTGGAGATGTCTGGATTATAATCCAGTCGTTTTTTAGGAGGCTTCAGCCCCAAGCAGCAGCAGCAGTGAGCAGGAAGGGTTTGAGAAGAGCAGGAGGAGGAGGAGGAGGAGGTAGGTGAAGATGAGGTGAAGGAGAAGCAGTGGTGACATCATGGGGAGGAATCAGAACATGAGAAAAATGTGGAGAGAGTGACACCTGTTAGAGAATCTGGGTAACCGCAGATGGACCAGGTCAAATATGTTCTGTCACACACTATATAAACACTAACACACACTAACAAGCAGCATCTACATACACTAAAACACACACATGTGCCTTTAGTCTTTGTGTCTAAACAAAACTAGAAGTGTGTATGAAATAATTTACATCAACTGTTCTACTCACACACACACACACAAGTACCACACACATGCAGTGTAAAACCAAGCAGTGTGCAGGAAGCCATGTGAAGTACAAGCAGCAGTGTTCATGTGAAAGTGCATCAAGCCTTCAAATCCCAAGTTTCACCAGTGCTTATCAACAAGTGGTTCAATAACATTAACTCCAATAAAATTCTCAACACCAACAAAGCATGTGAAAAAACATGTCAAGACTAAGGGCTAGCTGAATATTAAATATTACACACACACACACACACACACACACACACACACACACACACACACACACACACACACACACACACACACACACACACACACACACTTCTGAACGTGGCTTCGAGATCATCCTAAACCTCAGGTCCTTGTGTGAAAATCCCACTTGCACATTTCAAAGTGAGCCCAGAAAGCCCGATGCTGTGTAACGGGAGGCGTGTCCTCATGACCCGACATAAATCAGTCTGTTTGGAGTAATCTGTCCTCACGCGTGTGACTCAACTCAACCCCCTGCACCTAAACCACCAACACGCTAACAATATCTACGTCCAGCAGAGGGCGATCATGATTTTAGCTCCATGAACATACAGAACATTCTCCCATCTGCCAACATAAAAATACAAGCAGGAATAACAAACACATTAATCTGATGTTGAAGTAACTGTTCAAATGACAATGTTATGAGTTTATTTTTGGCAGAAACATGTAAAAAGAAAACGTATTTGAGCACTGACTGTTTTGCACTGACAGTTTTTTTACAAGCCCTGCTGCCTGGCCATGCTTAACGTAACCCTTTGTTGAACAGGATGCAATTATCTGGATTATTTTTGTGGACATTTTAGAGCCTGCAAGAAGCCAAACAAACAAAGAAGTAAACAAATATCAGGGATGCTCAATACTGGATTTTTTAAACTGATATCGAATGTACAGATGCTGTATATTCTAACTCTAAAAGCTACAGTAGCAACTTTGGAAAACAATTATGTTAGAATCACTATAAATATGTTGTAGAGATAAAAAACCTAAAACAAATAAAAGTGATTCTTGTGCATTTGTCTGGAAACATCTGCCAATTCCACGGCTTGGACCGAAACAAACATTGCGGTTGTTGGTCTCGCTAAAGTGCCGCGCTATGGGTCCTCCATTCATTACGTACTCGCGTAATAAGCAGCAGAACACCAGTGGTGTGAGAGATTCTCCTCTCAATAATATCACACAAGGAGAAACAGCCGACTGCTACCATGACAAATGACCAGAGTCCCAAAAAGAAAAACACTTTTTGAAGCCACGGACAACTAAAGACGTGACATGTCACAAAAGTGTGCGTGTTTGTGTGTGTGGATGGAGGGATCACTGCACCAAACAACTACCACATGCTCAAACAACTGGCCCAACCAGTCTAATAAAAGACTAAAGAAACAACTCATGAGTGTGCGTAGAGACAGTGAGCGTATGCTTCTGACAAAGTCGTGGTTGGGGGTTTCACTGAGCCCTGACTTACCGGCCGCCCAAACTCCAATTCGGAAAAGAACTTATACCAAGGCTCGTTCTCTAAATCTACATCATCATAGGTCTGGGAAAGCATGACAGAGAGAAGGAAATAGAAAAAAGACAGATGAGAAGGAAGTGTGGGGGGAGTAACACACAAAAAGAGACATGGACCTCGTGGTTAGGAAATGGGCAAAAAAAAGATGGGCAACGAAATGAACCAGGATTTGATCAGGTGAGCTTTACTAATGCAGAACTGGTGTCACACACAACAGAGCAAGTACCATTACTGACGTGACCTGAAACAGGATTACCAGGCCTTTCCACCAGGCACGCTGTCGTCGCGTAATGTCCGTGTGACGTCTGTAAATGGTAGTATGCAGCACTAGCCGCCGCTTTAGTGGATGGGTGCGTTTCCAGCGGCACCCATTCATGCTTTCGAAGTGTTCCAGATGTGTAAGGAGCCTGTTGCTTATGCTTTTAGTCACGTTTCTACACACTATGCTTATACAATGCATCAGACTCTGTAGTTCAAATCAGGCCATACAGGAAGTCAAACATGAAAGCAGTGTAAAATATCCAAAAACTTTCAAAATAAAAGTTTCCAGTTGCTAAACGCCATTTACTGTGAACCCTCCGTAGCTGAGGAAAACAAGAGAAAATTAGCCGCAGACCTGTTTGGATACATGCTGTGAACTACCACAATCACACATGGTGTTGTAATTCTTTCATGATTTTGTAACCTCATGGGACCAGCGGTGTGGAACACTTTCGCTACCATTTTGCATCTGAAACGCTCCCAGTGGGAAGGAAGCTAGCAGGTAAAACGTGTCTATTACTGCATACGCATCCAATAGAAAGGCAGGGGTATGCAAAAATACTCACAAGTAAAACACCTAATTTATGAGTTTGGAAAGCTCAGGAAGGAGGTTTATCTTTTATTGTCTGCTGTTGAATATTACTGTCTGAAAAACTTGGCAGCATCACAGCTCAGTCTGCTCTTCCTGACCTTCTCTCCACGCAAAAATGTGTCTTTAGGCCAAACGAAACACTGCCAGATGAGGTTTTGTTGTATTTACATTTATATTTATTTTTCTAAAAAAAGAATCGATATTTCAGAAGGATGAGTCACCCAGTGAAAAAGAGAAAGCCTGGGGTAGAGACTGGTTGTAACACAAACATAATACAGGTGCACACAAACAACTAACGACAACAAAGATCTTCTGAACAAAAGCTAGACCCCTCCCCCACCACCCACTCCTTTTTTATTCTTAGATTTTATAATTTCCCAGAGATATTCTTCGTTGCTCAAGAGGACATTGTTGAGTGGCGCTTTTTGCCTTGATAATGGAGAAAAGAGGCAGTGAACAGACATCAGAAAAAGCCAGCGTGGGCACCGTCAACTGCTTTCTCCATTTATTGCTTCTATCAGGAACTGACTCATGCATTATTGCTTCAGGAGGTCGCTCTACAGATGTCAAATAATTGTCAAACTCTAAGAAAAAATAATCCTTTTCACGGATGTCAGAAGGCTCCTCATCTGGAACATATTTCTTATTTAAATGTTCATTTCTTGGATAGCTCATTACTTATTCCCTCGTCTCTATCGACAATAATCATCTCTGCTGTCTACTTTGTTATTTATTGACGACACTCAGGAGTTAACAGCAAGTGCTGTTACTAGGGGATACAGTAATAGAAACATTTGCTGTTCACACCTACGTTGTATTTTTATGCCTAAAGCCCAGGGCATAACCTACATCACATATGATCAAATACAAACATGTCTGCCTGTGACCGGATAATGGTGGTGCTCTGCCTATCCAGTCAGAAATCTGATCTCAGCTGTGTTGGACTCATAAAAATGTCTGCCACCTCATTAAAAGTATTATTTTTACACCAGAACAGCAACAAAAGGAAAACAGGTCACACTGATACATTAGATTATTAATAAGTCTCCGTGAAGCCAGCAATAGGACTAATTTTTTATTTATTTAAGAGGAAAGTGTAAAAAAGTGAACGACTTACTGGTCTTTCATGCTCCAAAATGGAGGACTTGCCAGGCTCGTACTCAAAAATACTTTTGGGTTCTGCGCGATACTTCCGCGTGTCCACTTTCCTGTCTGGAGGACCCCATTCATTTCTGGTACAAAGAAAATTACACAAAAACAAAACCTCAGAAGATGTAATATGTAATAATGTAATATAAATACAAGGAAGTTGGTGTTATGCTGTTGTTCACACTTCAGCAACTATCTATCTGGGATGTGGCTGATGGTGACAAATTAGTCATTTGCAATTTGATTTTCAAAATATCTTCAAACCCAAGTGAGGGTTAGCACCAGAGTTGAAGGGCTTCGCTCTTGTGTGACTGAAATTTAAAATTGTATTGAAACATTTGCATGAAAAACTTTCTCTTTAGGCATCCAAAGTTGTTGTGTGGAGCTGTTCTCAGCTCAGTTTCCATGTGTCAGAAGGTGCAAGAAATGTGAGACTCTTTGTAACTAAAGTGAGAAAAGGAATCTGCATGGCACTCACAAATGTCTCAATTTATTCCAAGTGTCGACATGCACTGACAGTTGCAGCCCAGAGGAATACCAGCTTTTCTGACCAAACAGAGGCTTTTTAGTGCCGTGTCAGAGATTTTTCAAAAGACTCCAACATTGTGATGAGTCAGCTTACTGCAGAACTTTCAGCAATGTCAGCTAGCCTTTACACAGGTAACAACTTTAAATTCATGATTTTTCGTAAAATAACGTTGATGTTTAACGTGTTAGATGGCCCTGGTTGTTGTACTTAGGGCTGGGCAATTTGGCTGAAAAAAGATACTATTCATTAGAAATCTGGTTTCTGATTTTATTTGTTTGTTTTTCCCCTTTCCTTTCTTAAAAAGAAACTGAATAACAAAATATTTTCAAGAACTTGCTCTTATTTTAATCATCCCTTTTGAGAGACCTGAATAAGGCTTGGGATCACACGTGTGATTCTGGGCTGTGCGCAGACATATTGATGGCCTTACGAGTGGAAACAAACCGTGGAAACAAACAGTGTGTCACAGAGAAGAAGATTTGGGAGAAAGGAAGTGTTACACAACATGTTAAAATCCCCAAAAGGATGTGGAAAATATGTTAAATAGGGAAGACAGGGACCGGTTTCTAGACAACATCAGCCCTATAAATGGTTTGATCTTTTTGAAAGACTCAAGAGTGGACGAATAACGACAATTTGTTGCCAACACAGTTCTGAAAACCGGACATATTTGGCCAAATTGTCGTGGTGTGAGCGGATGTAAACGTCCAGATGAAAGGTAAACATTTCATTAGCTGTTTTGTGTACTAAAACCATCAAAACAGTCATCCCATAGAAGTGTAGCACGAGAAGTAATGTTGTGTGTCAGTGCACCTGCATTAAAGTTGGTTTATGCTTGACACGTCCGCGAGGTCCGCACGGCTCCGCGCGGAAAAGTTGCGTCATGTTAACAACCACGCCCCTCCACCGCGTCTCCGCACGGCCCAAAATTTCCGCACCGTGCACCTAGGAAAATTTCTAACCACGCGGACGGTCGGACGCGGAAAAACATGGCGGACCGGCAAGAACTAGTATGGCAGAGGTTCGTAAATACAGACATTTATGATTCAGCTCTCAGAGATCACCGTGATCAACATGTTGTTAATAATTCTTGGAGAGAAATAGCTCGCACTGTCGGAAAAGACGAGGACGCTGTTAAAAATGCTGGAATGCCATGTTGTAAACAGTAATTTCTACTTCTACTATGGTGTAGTGTTGGATGCGTGCTGTAGAGCTCCATGCTGCCCCCTACAGTTTGGGAGAATATTGGCTCACCGCAGAGACAAGCCGCACAAACCATAAACGCTGCGAGTTGTGAAGCACGTTCCATCCGTGAGCCGCATCACCAAGCGGAAAGTGAATGCATCAAGCATAAACCAAGCTGTAGCCTACCGGCATGTATGTGTAACCTGTGTGTGTGTGTGTATGTGTAACCTGTGTGTGTGTGTGTGTGTGTGTGTGTGTGTGTGTGTGTGTGTGTGTGTGTGTGTGTGTGTGTGTGTGTGCTGGTCATGGCTGAAGGAAAGAAACGATTTATATAAGAAACGTTATATGGTTAATTGAAGGTGATTTTGTATGTAAATGGCAGTGAACAAACACGAGCACCTGGTTACACACAGGCTTGATTTATCATCAGACGAGTGTGGAGGAACACGCGTACGATTGGCCACCGCATGTTTCATAAATCAGGTTTTGACCATTTGTACCAACAATCTAAATTTCGTTCACAGGAAGGAATTTAGGAATTATTCTACAAACGTTTGATACGTGAGGCCCATGGAACCAAACCCGGATCAACCTACTGCTTGGACTGTAGCTGTGCTAACCAACGTACCAATTTCATTTACAACTATCATCCAGTGATCATAGCTTTTGTACATTACATATGAGACATAGTTACGTGTGATTTTTCGTTATTTCCGATTGCTAACATTTTATTTAGCTAAGTTGATGGTAGTGCTAGGGTGCTAATGCTAGTTTTATGTTAGTATTAAACTAAACTATTAAACACCAGCATGATTTAGTGATCAAACTTTCAAAAGCTACATTAATGCTTTATAACGTATTGAACCGGAGGCTTCTCCGGTGTGGTGAATATTTCAGAGACTGCTGAGGAAGATAGCCGTGGAGCTAACGGCCTGAGGGTTTTAGTAATTCGAATGAACACAGACGCTGTTCTAAGGTCAGCATTAGTCAAAACAGGGCAGCTGATGATCATTTCACTTCTTTCTTAATGTTAAGGTGAAGTTTTTGTGGGAAAAACATTCATGCAGACTGCTTTTGTCAAGAGTCCAAGAGTGTAAAAAATACCCAAGCTTTCTAAATATTAAATCTTCATAAATGACAAATTAAAAATGAATCAGTAAAATCCAATTATTGCCCATCCCTAGATGTACAGCTAAACTCTTTTCACGAGTCTTTATTAGAAGTGGACCTAATCATCAAAAATCAATAATGCAGCTTGAAAATAGCTGCATCCCATAGAAAATGGTCACAGGCACATCGCACAAATAAAGTCTCAACAGTCCTTTCACCATCTGATTCTGTTTGTCAACGTCTGATGTGGTGAGCTCAAGTATTTTAAACGGCCTGCATTGACTCAAAACCAGCATGTCAATAACACTGCGGTGCTAGGTTTGAGGAATTTTCTCTTACGTGTCTGGTGAATCTTTTTCACGATCACTGTCTCTGGCTCTGAGCTGGAGGAGGGAAGCCATGGGAGGAGGTGGTGGGGGCACTGGGGATGGCGAAGGCTCGCGAGTTCCCAGCTGCCCTCCGTTGTCCGAGGGGCTTTTGGATAGAGGCCTGTACGTGTGTGTCCGAGGGGGCGGGTGGGCCACGGTAATGCTGGATGACAGGCTGTGGTCGTCTGCTGAGGACAAAATGAAGAAGACAGCAGAGGGGGAAGTAATGAAAGCAGTGAGCCACAAAGGAGGGGGCATATGGGTTGGAAAGAAATAAAGTAATGTTACATCAAGAGAAAGTCTCACCACTGTTTATGAAAGCATATGTTGCACTATATGTGTCAGAATAGTCATCATCTGTAGAGGAAGGGTAAACAGACTGATTGGGAAACATGCACAGGAATGCTGTTCAGCACAAAAACTACAAACGCTCAAGACAGCTTTAGTAAAATACCATTGCCGAGTGAACTTTAGTCCTGTCTGCAATAGAAACCCCCGAAAAGATAACCCATGCACAGAAGTTAGTTTTTACAGTGAATAGAAGTGATTGAAGCTAAACTATGTGAGATTATGAACAGAGAAAGACCAAAATACATGATTTTTGAATTTCTTTTAAGTTCTAGAATGAAAAAAAAAAACCCACCATAGATTCTGGGCGGTACTGAGGCTTTTCCAGCAAAAACAACCGTGGCAAGTCTTGCAAACCCACTGCAGCCTTCAGATGGCAGCAACCACGATCTAGTTGTCTTAATGAATTTACTGTCATAAAAGAAGCCTGAGTTGTTCCGAACAATCAAGCCTTGTACTGACTGTGGTTCCATCGAGGCCCACATAGCTGAGCAGATTTCCCAGGACAACTCTACATCTATTACTGCTCAAGACTCTGTTGATCACATCTAATGAGTTCTGGCTCTGAGTTCGTTTGGAGCTTTTGGTTTAACAAGTACCGACATGCGTGAATGCTCAGCGACACACACACGCATGCTCACACATTGCATGCATACGTGACCAATTAGAATTCAAACATGGAAACATTTGACTTTGCAGAGAGCTTCAGTGCTGCTGTACCTGCTTTGTGAACTTTGTGAATCTGTTTGAACATCGTTTTGTACCAATCCTTCGGCCGGTCCACCGTCTGTGGAAAGAGACATAAAAAGAAGTTTTATGCACCATGTAACACTAAATGAGCTGCACAGTTTGAGCTGAAAACTCCTTTACAGAACATTGCTGAGTTGAGTTTACACAGTTATATTTTACACATAAACTTCCATGAAATTTAGACATGAAAAAATAATGTTTAAGGATATTTTAGAGACAATATTTTCCATTGACTTGTTTTTTAATGCTGTTCAAAGAAAGGGACAACCTCTCAGTGCGTTTATTACAACTGTGACAGACAGTTTAAGCCTGAGAGCCCGGCTGTGGTGATGCTTTCACAGATCAGTGTCAAGTTTGATTCAGTTCAACAGACTAAAGTCTTAGTAGCAATGCTGCGCCCAAACCAAAGGATGGGGCTCACATCGCTACGCCAGGAACCTCCAGGAGAAATGCTCGACCTTGTGTATATGGTACAGATCTAATGGCCACTTCAAAAAGGAGCTATCAAATGGCAGCAAGACTTAATCTTCTCTTTATTCAGCAGCACTGAACACCAGCCATAGATACTGGTCAGAGCAGGCAGTGAGAGATTGTGTGAATGTGTGTGTAACGCTGGGACGGGCAAGCCGGGCCAATTATGGCTTCATTCTCCACGGTTACCGAACTGAGTGGCCACAAAAATGCCAGTCTGCTCACAACAAGGAGCATCTGTTCTTCCCTCTCTTTATTGTTTTCACTCTAATTTTTGCTTATAATGCTCAACTTTTTTTTTCTTTAAGTTTCTCCTTTTTCACTTCTGTTGATCAGCATGCCGTCCTTTAAATGCCTCTTCTCAAGACGAAGACAACTTAATACATGGAATGCCCTAAAAGTGATAAGACACTGAAACTTTGACAAGTGAGGAGTAAAAGGCCAAGCTTGTCTTTCTAAGTCACACACAGAGGAAAGGAAGAGATATACTGAGATAGTGAGAGAGAGTTTTTACTATGAGACATGCGTGACCAGTAGATGAGAAGCAGGACTGCTTCTCATCTACTGTATGGGATGTATTTTCCAGCCACGACCTCCAGGAGTACACAGACACTGTACTCTCGTACATCAGGAACTGTGTTGATAATGTCACCGTCAACAAAAGGGTAAGGGTGTTCCCAAATCAGAAACCCTGGATGAAGAGCGAAGTGCAAGCCCTCCTGAAAAGTCGCAACACTGCCTTCAAGTCAGGGGACAAGGCTGCGTATTGGGCGGCAAGGGCAGACCTGAGTAGAGGCATCAGGAAAGCTAAGGCTGCCTATAGGAGAAGGATTGAAGATCACTTTGCAGACAATGACCCCAGGAGGATGTGGCAGGGGATCAATCACATTACCAAGCACAGAAGCAATAACCTGGCGACATCTAGTACTGATGCCTCGTGTGCTGAGGATCTAAATCATTTCTTCGCCCGTTTTGAGACGTCCAGGCCCTCAGATGTAACTCCATCTACTCCGGCCCCCAGCACCGGCACACTAACACTTGTGGAGCATCAAGTGAGGTGTGTTCTAAGGTCAGTGAATCCCAGTAAGGCGGCAGGTCCTGATGGAATACATGGAATGGTGCTCAGGGCATGTGCTAATGAACTGACCGGAGTCTTCACTAAAATCTTCAACCTTTCCTTGTCACTAAACACCGTCCCGCCCTGTCTCAAAACCTCCACCATCATCCCCGTTGCAAAAAAGTCAGCAGTGGTCAGCCCAAATGACTACAGGCCTGTTGCACTTACGCCTGTAGTGATGAAGTGCCTGGAGAGGCTGGTCTGTCAGTACATCAGGGCCAGTCTGCCTCCCACTTTGGACCCCCATCAATTTGCCTACAGGACAAATAGATCCACCGAGGATGCTATCACCATAGCGCTCCACACTGCACTGAGTCACCTGGAGCACAGAGGAAGCTATGTGAGAATGCTCTTCCTGGACTTCAGCTCAGCATTCAATCACATAATCCCTGAGGTCTTGGTCCAGAAAATGTCTCACCTGGGACTCTCCACCCCCATCTGCCTCTGGATTAAGGACTTTCTGACAAATAGATCACAGTCTGTCAGACTCGGGCCACACCAATCCAGCACCATCACACTCAGCACCGGGGCTCCACAAGGATGTGTTTTAAGTCCACTCCTGTTTACAATCTACACATCCGACTGCTCCTCTTTCCATCTCTCGAACACCATTATAAAGTTTGCGGATGATACCACCGTGGTCGGACTCATCTCGAAGGAGGACGAGACGGACTACAGAGATGAGGTCAACAGACTGACGGAGTGGTTTTCAGTAAATAACCTCCAACTGAACACCACAAAAACTAAAGAAATTATCTTCGACTTCAGGAAGGGCAGAGCAGACCCAGCCCCACTGTACATTCATGGGAACTGTGTGGAGAGGGTGCACTCCATGAGGTTTCTGGGCGTGCAGATCTCTGAGGATCTCTCCTGGACAGCAAATACCACGGCAGTGGTAAAAAAGGCCCAGCAGCGTCTCCACTTTCTGAGAGTGCTCAGGAGGAACAACCTGGAGGAGAGGCTGCTGGTTACTTTCTACAGAGCCACCATAGAAAGCATCATAACGTACTGCATAACAGCATGGTACGCAGGGTGCTCAGCTGCAGACAGGAAAGTACTGCAGAGGGTCATCAACACAGCCCAGAAGATCACTGGCTGCTCTCTGTCCAGCCTGGAGGTCATTGCAAACTCTCGGTACCTCAGCAGAGCGAGCAATATCATCAAGGACCAATCTCACCCCAGCAATCACGTCTTTCAACTATTACCATCAGGTCGACGGTACAGGTCACAAAAAACAAGGTCAAACAGATTCAGGGATAGCTTCTTTCCCAGGGCGATCTCTATTGTAAATAAGCATAAAAACAATTAAAACTGCTTAGCGACTGTCAAGGTCACCGTCAACTATTATGCTGCTATTCTAATGCCATTTTTTTACATGATATGGTAGCTGCTGTTCTGTATATAGTGTGCTAGTTGGCATATATTACTTTCTATTATTTTGTCACTTACTAGTGTTTTGTTACTTACTATTGTTTTGTTATAGGGGACCTTTATATTTAGAGGTATTATTGTATTGCGCACCAAGGGAGTGGCACTCCAATTTCGTTGTATCCTGCACAATGACAATAAAGGCTATTATTATTATTATTATGGGGCCAACAGTCGCTGACAGCTGAAAGTAATCCCCTCTCATGAACATGATCACATATTAAGACGGTCTAAAAAGGGGCAAAATACTCTCATGTGCCACTCTCACCGTGCGAATGGCAATAGGAATTCCAGATTCATCCACAGGACCGATGCCTTCATAATGTGGCGCTTTAATGACAGACACCTTCTTTTCTTCTTCTGAGAAGCGAGCGATGGGCACAGTGCTCCTGATGTTGGTGTGGCCTGAAATGACCGACTCTCTGGTGAAGGACTCACTGCCCTCTAGCCACACAAAAATCAAAAGGACACACTGTTCAAGGAAATATTCATTTGAATGAATGGATGGCTGGTGGTGAAAACCTGGGTTTCCTCGGCTTAAAGGAAGTTACAAGAGAGCAGCAACTCACCGGAGCTTCTGCTCTGCCTCAGTAGCCCAGTGTGAAGCAAGGCCGGGGGAGACGGATATGATGGGGGAGACAAGGGCCGCTGTGGATTACCAGCACTTCCATTCATAGCATGAGAGATGACCTGACCCTAGGAGCAACCCACAAGCCAAAAAAAGGGGCAGTGAGACGTCACAAAAGTTTCAGATATATCTAAAACTTTTAATCAGCAGGATAAGTTTTAGGAAATATGAATAATACTTGATTAAGAATTAGTAACCACGGGCAGCTTCAAAACCATGTTATTAAAAGCATTAATAAAAGTAGAGAAACAGGTTTGACATGAGCGAGTGAACATGTAACCACAAAATTAATCAAATCTAAATTGATTTGTTTGGATTAGAAAATTATTAGTGAAGTATTGGGACACTATGTTAAACCTACAATGACAAATCTGCAAAACAAGCTAGCTTAAAACATTTTTTCATGCCTCTTAACCCTCTAGAGGCAGGCGTTGCAGATTTGCAATGTTAAAACCTACCTACCAGGTTCCTCCACATACATATTTCATGAGCATTTTTTAACTCAGAAGTACCCCTGAAGGACTTAGTTGTTCATCCTTATTTTGAGCCTGAGAGGGTTAAAAACGTTCTAACGTAGTATAGCTATAAATGTACTGCAGAGGTTAAAAAATGAAGTGGTTCTCTCAGTTTTGTCAAAAAACTTCAGCCAATAACACGGCTCAGTCGGAAACAAACAACTGGACCATCCTGTTGTCTGTCTCACTGAACCACCGCACTTCCAAATTTACCAGGATCCACCACTGATTACACAACACCACTGGTGTGAGAGGTTCTCCGCTCAGTAGCATCAGAGAAGGAGAAACAGCCAGCTGCTACCACTTAAGGACAAACTACCAGAGTCCCAAAAAGAAAAACACCATTTGAATTCAGACAACAAAAGACCTTTGGAGCTAGAACACTAAGACTGGTGTTTAGCGCTCTCTCGTCTACTGTGGCAATGCACGTTCCAATATCAGGGGGGCGTGGCCTAGGGATGATCGCTACCAAGAGGGATGAGAGTTCAGTGACCGTGTTTTTGTTTACAAGCTAGCTTGTTTTGCTAATTTGCCATTGCAGATTTAATCCTTCTACATTGAAAAGGGAAGAAATGTTTACAGTTCAGTCACATTCACAAACATCTTATTAAAGATTAGTTGACAAACACAAGACAGCAGATTTTGGTAAAACCAAAACGGAAAATGTTTAATGTTTTCTATCGTTCAATAAAAAAGAGGAAGACATTATTTACTCCAACAAATACAAATGCTCTTTTAAGGCTTGAATGTCAATACCAAAAATGTATGGAGAAATATGACAGGTGACTATTTTAAAAGACAAAAGTGATTACATGAAACATATAGTCATGCATTTTTTAAAAACCAATATAGTCTGAGCACAAAAATCCAATGAAGAAGCTAGACCTATAACCAACTAATGACTTGGTAGTTGAAAGAAAATTAATTTAGTATTTTTATAGGTGTGTGTGTGTGTGTGTGTGTGTGCACTCAGGATTGTTTTTCGCTGTATTACACTGATGGATACTGTAGGTAACAAAGCTTGACGATACAACACAACTGTGACCTGGAACAATAGATTCAGACCTAACTGCTTTGTAAATGTCAGACGGATGCAGTCTTATTACAACCAATGGTAATGTAACATGCAAAAGCCTGACTGGTTTGTAAGTATTGTACTAGAATGTTTACAAGGTGTATTAAAACAAATAAATGAAACACTGTTTGGCTAACAATACAAAGGTGTTTCATGAAAAAAGATTTTCTTACAAAATCCTTTGAGTGTTTTTAAACTTGAGCTCCTTTTTACCATGTTTTCATATTCAAACAATCTGTAAAGGAAATCTCTGTTCTCACTGATTCAATAGTTGGGGTATTACTCACAAACATTTTCACAAGTGTCGGACTCGAGTCTTCAAAGACAAACCAAGCGCATCTCCCAGGAAACAATTTTTTTTTTAGGCAACCTGCCAGCTGAAGTAATTGCAGACTTAATCATCGTATCATATTCATCTGACGTGTTTACAAGTTCAGGACGGCTTCTTGGAAACTCAGTAGAGGTTTATGCCCCAAGCCATTATGGGGACAATAATAAATCGTGTCAATTTGACGACTGGGCATATAAATTTCCTCTGACTTCCTGAAGAAAAGCTAAATCAAAACCCAGCCTGACACTCTGTGTACTTTTGGTTACTTCACTGTAGGAAAAACAAAAAAACGTGTGTACACACAAAGTCTAAATCAAGCAACGGCCGCAGAAGCTAGTCAGTTTTCTAGTTAGCTAATAGCTCTTCAATGTAAAGACACAGCAAATGGAAAGCTGTAAACAAACAAGCTAATGTAAGCAGTCATGCAAAGATGATCATGCCAGTGATTGCTGGGTGAGACGCTGGCTATAGTTAGCAAACCAGCTGAGCCAGGCAGCTTCACTTTGTTGTCACTGTGACGGTGATTATATCTCTGAGATGTTATAAAAATGGACTCATTGGCGTATTTAAATAGATCTTGGGCTTCGGAACCACTGATCTGCAGGACGCAGGTTTTCCACCGGATGTGTACGCGGCGCACAACATAATAGAATCATTTTATCACAAAAGCATTGGTGAATTGCAAGATCACACAATAACAATTCAACTTATTTACATAGCGCCAATTCACAGCAAGTCATCTCAAAGCATTTTGCAAAGTAAACAATCCAACTGAACCTACCTATCAGTGCATTAAGTTCAGTTCATTATTCCAATTAGTTAAAAGTTTATCAGATAAAGAGAGACTGCAATATTTTCATATTTTAAATCATTTTCTTGAGTCCTTATGTGCTAAAATGACATGTCACTCAGACCCCCACCACCCTCTGTGGCCGGAATACCACCTTTGCAACTTCAGAGTGCCAGCCAGCCCGGTCTGCTGGCCGTTGGAAAAAATTGAGTAGACATACCTGGCGCCACAGTCTGCTTCCAGCACATTCCCTGCATGTTTTAGATCAAGAAGGCAGCTGATTTGTTTGATTTAGTTATGAATCACCCCTGTAGACACTAATGAAGGCTGTGGAGACATTTCATCTTTCAGATTAAGGTGTTCAAAAGACAAACGCACAGCAAGAAGATAAGTTTTACTTCCGGTTCTACTAAACGAATACAAAGGGGAGCTAAAAGCGAGCTAAAACGTCCTAGTCTCTTTTAAGTACACCTAGCAGACTGCATCGATTAACATCGATTGTGTCAAGCAAGGAGAAAGATGGCAGCATGTTTCCTAAAATATGTTATCTTTATCTATTCTTTTTACTTCGACCACTTAAAGCTTCTTTCCGGAGTATTTCTCTTATCCGATGGCACAATCTAGTGGCTGACAAGCATATAACAGTCCTTACGTTTTTTTAAGATGGCAACTTCATGTTTCTGTAAATGTGCTTCTGTAGTCGACAAACAGAGCTAAAACACGTTGTTTTACAAGTATTATTCTCATGTCATGTTGTGTCCTCATATATTTATATTTTAGAGACTTGTCCGTGAAAAGTTAATCAACTAAGCATCAGCCGAGGTATTCCTTAAATTTGATGCATCTAAACCATCTATTGGTTAGTTCTGGTTGGTGCTCAGTTTCCTATTGCACGGAGGTCTGTGGGGCGGGGGGGTGCTTAGCAAAAAATAAATAAATAAAAGATGTATTGCTTACATTACATCACAGTACATGATAAGATACTCACTTTTACGGATTTCTGACAAATCATAAATCATTTCTGAAAGGGGAAAACTCCAGAAAGATATTTTAAGTTTCACATTTAATTTGAATTACTTAAGCCATAAGGAATCTGCATGTGTCTTCATTTTAAAAGTTTCCAGATGCTTTTCAAACCTCCCGTTTGACTTCCTGTCAGGCTCGATCTGACCTGGAAGCACAGTGCGTAAACTAAAGCCTAAATTTTGTGGAGCAACATGAAACTATACTTCTGGATGTTGCTCTGTGTCTAGTGGAAACACACCCATTGACAATGGTCAATGACGGCAATTTGCTACATATTATGCTTGGCAGACGTTATGCAGTAATTACACATCTGGTGGAAGGCCAGGGTACGTCTTACCCCGGTTTCACACTGGCGCGAAATGGCAGCGGAAAGGTTTACTCGCGACCTTCAAAGCGGTAATTTTCACACTGGGAGTGTATTGGCCACAGCACAGCTTCCTCAGTATGTTCTTCGCTACACTTGGGAGATCACAAAATCCCTCGAGATTTTCGCCCTCCTCCTGGTTTGACTCGCAAGATTGCAAGATCCCTTGAGACTTCAAAGGTCACGTTTTGTTTATTCAATCTGCCATTTAAGCAAAGAGAAGGAAATCACATTGATATCACTGTTTGATGTCATATATGATGTTGTTCCTCTCCACTGCCAAGATTAAAGCCATGAAAAGCATACCACCGCATTTCTGAAACGATACTGGGTGCAAATAAGACGTTGGGTCACACGTTAGCAACATATATGAAATTGCATCGCTGCAGTACCTTTAATTTGGAAAATTAACGAGGATTTTACACTGAAACCATGAGTGATTTCCTGTCTAGCCCAATGTTAACTGCGGATATTGACGTGTCCCAGAAGTGGCTCGCAGCAAACTGTCTGAAAAGTGCCACGCCTGGTTTGAAATACTCCATAGACTGCATGGTGGCGCAGTGGTTAGCACTGTTGCCTCGCAACACGAAGGTCACAGGTTCGAAACTCGGCTACGGCCTCTCTGCGTGGAGTTGCGTGTTCTCCCCATGCATGCGTGGGTTTCCTCCGGGTACTCCGGTTTCCCCCACAGATCACAACATGCCCTACAGGTTATAAACTGTAAGTCGCTTTGGATAAAAGCATCTGCTAAATAAATAAACATAAACATAATGTATTCTCTTTGAAGCAGTTGACATTCCGCGCCGCTGATGGTTTCAGTGTGAATCCCGGGTTAGCTTTCTGCCATGACTTGTTTTCTTTTGTGATATTGTCTAATTAAACATAAAATAAAATAAAATGCAAGGCAATGAAGAAAGGCACAGCTGATATTGACACAGAGCTCTAACGAACACACAACAGAACAATACATAAACAAAGTGATTAAATATTGGTATGTGACAGACAGAGCAGATACTGGTTAGTTTAAGTTAAACATGGCAGCAATCAAACGTTGAATGTTTGGTCTAGTCTTTGAAACTGGTAGGGGGGAGAGTGGGAACCAGTTGTAAAAGGAATTTTATGTGTGTTAAACAGGTGCCTTGTTCAGATAATTACATTAGTGACAGTGGCTGCTGCAGGAGTGGAGCCCACAGAGGTTGTTAGCACATCATCGAGCCCGGCACTGGATGTGTAGGCAGAGGCAAGGCTGAGAGTGGGCGATGGCGTGGGTGAGGTGCTGGGTGAGTCCAGGCTACAGATCTGCAGCTCATCCAGCAGACCCGCCGTGGACGACGAGTAGTGGCTGAGCGCTGACACTGTCACAGGAGAAGCTGCAGGTGACACACAGCCACTGACGCTCACGCTGCTGTGGGCGGCAAGGCTCGGAGCGCCATTTGTGCCAGCTTTGCTAGCTCCACTGGGAACATACGGGGTGGGCGACAGGGCCTTGGGCATTAGGCTTGACAGGTAGTCGAGTGAATCGGAGCTCTGGCAGCGATAGGGGGAGTGCCGTGCTGAGGGGTCAGGGGAAGGAGGCCCCTGGTGTCGGAGTAGGAGGAAATTGATAGGAGAAGGAGGAGAGGAGGCGTATGCTTAGTTAATTCACTTATTAGTCACATTGTCAAAAGGGACGTGAGAAAAACAACATGGTAGCTTGGCAGTTGGTGAAATCAAACGGTTACATAAGGCTGCAACATCATCTTCAGGAACACGAACAAGGCTGCAAACGGAAGAGGCTCCGTTAGTTCAAGCTCATTGCTATTCAGCAAAGTTTTCCTTGCAGTAACTGGGACACAGATCATATAAAACACTTGGTTATTTTCACACAAGTACATGGTCACAAATATACAATCACAGTTTTATTGGTCAGCAGGAAGCATCAAGGCTAACAAACTAAAGGTAACAGACACCAGCAGCACCAGCATGCATGAAGTTTATTTTACCAGAAGCAAGTTTTGGACCATCAGGCTGCAAAGAGCACTTAACCCAAATTCCCAAAATTTAGCAAACTACATCCATGGTTCTTCATGCGTGACATATGATGCAGTCTGTGAACCTTTAGTCTCTCTTGATGTTCCCAAGACTCAAACACAAGTCTTCTACTGCACTGACTTGTACAACCTGACTGCTGCTTCTTGATTACAAAATCAGTTATGTACCAACAGTTCTGCAGGCGAAGGTCTTGGGGGAATTGCTGGAGGAGCTTTCGTCATCTCCACCTCGGGGGAAGCTGGAGTTGAGGTCTGTTTCAGATCTGGGACCTTGACTTCCATTTTTAGATTTGAAATCAGCGAAGCAGGATTTTTTGGATTCTCTTTGCCCAAGTGAACAAAAAGTGAAGTACTCTGTGATGAAGGTGGGGAAGGGACCAGACCTTTTTGTGGGAGAGGGGAATCTGTAGTCTCAGTTATAGAATGAGAGTTAAAGTGAGCCGGGGGGTCCGAGACAGTGACAGGGGTTAGTTTAAGGGAAGAAACTTTACGTTTCTCTTTATTAGCAGTGGCAGATGTGCCGAAGTTTCTAATATCACTTGGAGCTGTGGATGGATCAAGCTGTTGGACTGCATTTGCACTTGTCTGTTTGTAGGAGTAAGAGGACATGCTGCTAAGGGTGTAGGACTCTTTCAGAACTGCACTGTCATTCTTAGTCAACGTTAAGGCTCCGGGACTCATGTCGTTAGCTAGATCAATGCTGTAGTCTGGTGGACTGGTGCCAGGGGACAACAAGTGAAAGCTCTCTCTCCTGGGGGGTGGCAGGGGCAAGGGACTGGCATCCTGGTTAGCCAACCAAAAGCAGCAGCCAATGTTAAGTTCAAACAACAACAAAAACAAGAAAATCATCAGCACAAAGCTTTTCATTAAGACAATGGATGATTTTGATTAAATTATTAAAAAATATGAGCGAAAATGCTTCAAAGTGAATTGTACCAATTAACGAATGCAGCACTCAAAAATATACATTTTCTATTAAAAATATAGACAGTATATATAAAATAGCAGTCTTCCTTAGTGTAGGCTGTGCAATAATTTACCTGTGTGGGTGACCTTTTGTCTTGTAGGTTGGGTCTAACGCTTCGGAAGCCTTTTGCGGCGAGCGAGGAGCTGGTGGCGTCTCCATTCTTAAAACCATCATTTGCACTGCGAGATCGCCAAGAATCTGGAGAGAAATGTGCTTTTATCACCAAAAACAAAGTCATGAAAGTGTGTGTTAGTTTTCTTCATAGCTTTCTTTTTTCGTGAACAATGTTTTTTCACCAATGTAATCAGGCTCACCAATGTCTGACGAGTGAGACTCGGTCCCTGTGGAAAAAACAACAAAGGCAGGTGATACCTAAATGTGCACATACAGTTGTCCCTGTGACAAGTTGAAATGGTCTCCAACCTGTGTCACCTGCATTAGCCACAGAAAGAAAATAGACGGGATAATGTTTGAGTCAGAAAAAGCCTCACAGCTCTGTTTATCACACTGGAAATTTGCATTCCTGGACTTGCCTACCTTAGCTCGCGAACGCAGACAGCTTATGTGGGTTTAGTGTCCAGGAGAAAGCAGCTTGTAGAAGTTAACCGTTAGCTTTAGCAACTCCACAACATGGCAGATCATGTTTATGTTTCTGCCATTTGTGGACAGAAAATATCAGCGTTGCTTTTTTTCTCCAAATAAGGAGAGTGAACGGCGATAGCAGAAAAGTTGCATTGCTTGTTGGGCAGTCAGATGAATGCCTTGTGCCTCTGTTGGACAAACACTCTGGTGCTGCTGTTTCAGAAACTAAAAGTTAGCCAGAGGAGAGTTGAGCACAACATGGCAGGATTTGGAGTCTTATTTCCAGATGTTCAGACATCCAGCCTCTGATTGGCTAACAGCAAAGCAACTCTACTACTGACTCACTTTGCTTTGCAATATTGATGTTTTGTCTCTAAAAAGAACACAAGCCTGTAAGACCTTTGTCATGCTGTGGAGTTGCTAATGCTAACGGTTAGCTTCTACTAGCCGAGGCATGCTCTATTCTCTCCTAGATGCTAAATCAACAACAGCCTTCCCTGTCGTGAGCAAAGATGGGTGAGTCCATGAATGCTAATTTGGCATTACGACACTTGTCACTGGCTTTTCTAACCCCCGTCTATTTTTAATCGGCAGCTAATGTAGCAAATTGGGGTAGAAGACCATTTTCTCATTTAGCATGCATGTTAGAGTGTCCGGTCATATTTTTAAAAATAATAGTTTCTCAGAGAACTTGGCCTTTAAACCTTACACAAGCTGAGTTTCAGCATAAAATGCATCAAATAAAAAGGTACTGAATGAGCACCAGGGCTGCTGGGTACATGTGCATACTACAGCTCATTCCACATATTCAGCAACTGTAAGTGTCTTAAGTAGCTTTGAATCTACTTTTTAAGAACTATGACCACTCTTGCAGTCGAGCATAGTGAACAGCAATAAAATACAAAGGAAATCACATCAATCACATTTTTACTGATTGATTTAAAAAACACAAGCAAAAAGAAAAAAAAGCTTCATAAAAGATGAAAAAAAAATCAGCAATCCAAATGTCGCTTGAGCTTTTAGAGAAATCGACAGCATTTCTAAAAGCAATAATGATCAATTTTAAATGAAAATCATTATCAAGAAATTCAAAATCCTTACCTTATGATCGGACCAACAGAACATGGTCAGTACTTAAGTCATCCATATTTGTGGTGTTCTACAAACCGTTTTTTGCCATTAAGTGTTGTGTCAGTGAGTGTTAGTACCTGTGGCTAGATTTGGTGAGCTCTGTACCCTCTTCATGGTAGAGAGGGTGAGGGACAAGGCCACGCTTTTGCGAGTGTGTCCTCCACTATCTGAGAAATCCCGACCAGGTGTGTGATCATTGAAGTGGAAGCACACATGCACATGCACACAAACGATGACACAAACACACACAAACGTGACGAGCCAGAACAAAAAAAAAAAAAAAATGCAGTTAGAAGCAAAGCACATGCATTTAAAGTTGCCTACATCTTTGCAACACAGCAGTTGATGGGATTTTTTACTAAAGGTTTATGATAGATAGATAGATAGATAGATAGATAGATAGATAGATAGATAGATAGATAGATGATAGATAGATAGATAGATAGATAGATAGATAGATAGATAGATGATAGATAGATAGATAGATAGATAGATAGATAGATAGATAGATAGATAGATAGATAGATAGATAGATAGATAGATAGATAGATAGATGATAGATAGATAGATAGATGATAGATAGATAGATAGATAGATAGATAGATAGATAGATAGATAGATAGATAGATAGATAGATAGATAGATAGATGATAGATAGATAGATAGATAGATAGATAGATAGATAGATAGATAGATAGATAGATAGATAGATAGATAGATAGATAGATGATAGATAGATGATAGATAGATGATAGATAGATAGATAGATGATAGATAGATAGATGATAGATAGATAGATAGATAGATAGATAGATAGATAGATAGATAGATAGATATATAGATAGATGATAGATAGATGATAGATGATAGATGATAGATAGATGATAGATAGATAGATAGATAGATAGATAGATAGATAGATAGATAGATAGATAGATAGATAGATAGATAGATAGATAGATGATAGATAGATGATAGATAGATAGATAGATGATAGATAGATAGATGATAGATAGATAGATAGATAGATAGATAGATAGATAGATAGATAGATGATAGATAGATAGATAGATAGATAGATAGATAGATAGATAGATAGAGAGATAGATGATAGAGAGATAGATAGATAGATAGATAGATAGATAGATGATAGATGATAGATAGATGATAGATAGATGATAGATAGATAGATAGATAGATAGATAGATGATAGATAGATAGATAGATAGATAGATAGATAGATAGATAGATAGATAGATAGATAGATAGATAGATGATAGATGATAGATAGATAGATAGATAGATAGATAGATAGATAGATAGATAGATAGATAGATAGATAGATAGATAGATAGATAGATGATAGATAGATAGATAGATAGATAGATAGATAGATAGATAGATGATAGATGATAGATAGATAGATAGATAGATAGATAGATAGATAGATAGATAGATGATAGAGAGATAGATAGATAGATAGATAGATAGATAGATAGATAGATAGATAGATAGATAGATAGATAGATAGATAGATAGATAGATAGATAGATAGATAGATAGATAGATGATAGATGATAGATAGATGATAGATAGATAGATAGATAGATAGATAGATAGATAGATAGATAGATAGATAGATAGATAGATAGATAGATAGATAGATGATAGATAGATAGATAGATAGATAGATAGATAGATAGATAGATAGATGATAGATAGATAGATAGATAGATAGATAGATAGATAGATAGATAGATAGATGATAGATAGATAGATAGATAGATAGATAGATAGATAGATGATAGATGATAGATGATAGATAGATAGATAGATAGATAGATAGATAGATAGATAGATAGATAGATAGATAGATAGATAGATGATAGATGATAGATAGATAGATGATAGATAGATAGATAGATAGATGATAGATAGATAGATAGATAGATAGATAGATAGATAGATAGATAGATAGATAGATAGATAGATGATAGATAGATAGATAGATAGATAGATAGATAGATAGATAGATATATAGATGATAGATAGATAGATGATAGATAGATGATAGATGATAGATAGATAGATAGATAGATAGATAGATAGATAGATAGATAGATAGATAGATAGATAGATAGATAGATAGATAGATGATAGATAGATAGATAGATAGATAGATGATAGATAGATAGATAGATGATAGATAGATAGATAGATAGATAGATAGATAGATAGATAGATAGATAGATAGATAGATAGATAGATATATAGATGATAGATAGATAGATAGATAGATAGATAGATAGATAGATAGATAGATAGATAGATAGATAGATAGATAGATAGATAGATAGATAGATAGATAGATAGTTAGATAGATAGATAGATAGATAGATAGATAGATAGATAGATAGATAGATAGATAGATAGATAGATAGATAGATAGATAGATAGATAGATAGATAGATAGATAGATAGATAGATAGATATTTTTAAATCTCGTCTTTCACATTATTATCACTGGCAAAATGAATCATGCTTCCACTGCCAGACAAACACACATAATTGTGTGTGCTAAGCTGAGAACATTCATTGATGGATTACTCATCCTGTCTTCTATTGAACACCTCAGCTCAGCATGGCTGCCCGGTTTTAAGATAAAAATCTCTAACTACGCTGCCCGGGCAGTTTCAGGGAGCATGAGGCACCATTTTCACACACGGACTGGTCACCACAGCGTCCACACTTTAACCCCATTGAGGATCTTTGGGATGTGCTGCAGAAGGCTTTGTGCATCGGTCAGACTCTACCATCATCAATGCAAGATCTTGGTGAAACATGAATGCAACACTGGTTGGAAATAAATCTGATTTGCAGAAGCTTATCAAAGCAACGCCACACCAAATGTGTGCTGTACTCAAAGCTAAAGGATGTTCAATGAAATTGTAGTGTGTGTCCTTTTTTTAGTGAAAACTTTCTTCATTTAAGTCCTCTAAATTAAAGTTGTTACACATCTTACCTAAAATTGGCCAAATTAAGGTGATTAAATATAAGCAAGGTTTTGTGGAGACATTTTTATTATTTGTGCATTTGTTTTTTCCTGAAGGCATAAAATCTATCAGTAAAATTATTTTCTTAAAAATTAGCTTAAAAAAAACTAAAACAGTAGACGCTGACGTGGAGGCAGATTAATCCTCAGTCCTGTTCTAGTTTTTACCTGTATTCATGATGAAGAGTACTTCTCACTGATCTACTGCAGGGGGACACACTTTTCTGCAGAAAACAAAATAAAAATCTTTTAGAGAGTGTCACATTTTACATTTTCAAAATAGAGAAACTGCTCAAGTTCAGTGTAACAAGTCTCTTGTTACACTGAACTACTAAAATATAACGCCACCTTGTTGATTTGTAGTAATACAACAAAATACCAAGTCTTCCTCAGCCTCTTGTTACAGCAGAAACACTTTTAAAATAATTTCATAACTTCTGAACACTAATGGATGTCCTGTTAGCAATCACTCTTGGCTGTGTTCAAAATAACATTAATGAATGAAAATGATTTCAATCTACCGCACATTAAATATTAATGAATTTTAATTTTAAATGAAGAAAATACCTTATTAAACATGTGTAACAATTTATAAATGGTGTGATTTCAGAATGATATAGATCATTTAGAAAGTTTGATCTATCTAAGATAAATGACATACCGATCTATACCCATGCACGATGCACGTCTTTTGCTATATTGAGCCCTCTTCTTGGAACTGTAGCAAGAGGACATGTGATTTATAAGTACTGGCACACATAAATGCTGCAGGCAGACAGCAGACTGTTGCATTGCTTGTTGAGTACATATCCATAGTGTCAACACGAGACTTCGAGCTTATGATAAAAACGAGTGGCTCCCATAGGGCTCATACATGTCTGGTATGTAAAGAACTATGACACATTACTCACACTGGCTGTCACACACACACACTCACACGCACTCACGGTAGCACGCGCACACCCACACATAAGCGCGCGCACCCACACAAACGCACCCACGTGCGTACACCCACACACACGCACGGTAGCGCACACACACCCACACATACGCGGGCGCACCCACACACACGCACCCACGTGCGTACACACACACACACGCGCACATGGTCACACGCACACACACACACACACACACACACACACACACACACACACACACACACACACACACACACACACACACACTTGTCTAAATACACTTTAAGACTCATGGGGTCACGGTGACACAGGAGTTAAGTGCTCGCCCCATAATCACATGGTTGCAGGTTCGAGCTCCGTTCAGCTTGTCGCTGTCATTGTGTCCTTGGGCAAGACACTTAACCCCCACTTGCCTGCTGGCGGTGGTCGGAGGGACCGGTGGCGACAGTGCTCGGCACCCTCGCCTCTGTCAGTGCGCCCCAGGGCAGCTGTGGCTGCATTGTAGTTCATCCCCACCAGTGTGTGAATGTGTGTGTGAATGCCTGATTGTGTTAGGGGCTGCATGACTTAATTTTTTTTAAAGTCGACAGTCAAGTAATGAAATTCGAGTCGTCTTTGACTAGTCGTTGATGACGTCATACACCTGAAGGGGGGGGGGGGGGTCGGTTGGTTCGCTGAGTTTTTGACAATTAAAAATGAGCCCGTATTTTCAAAGTTAAACACATTTCTTTTAACAACGGTAGTTTCTGCATCTATGCTGCTCCGCTTCAGCTCTATCACCCCTCCCCCTGCGCAGTGCGCCTGCTGTAGCCTCTTGGAGTTCCTGCTGCTCTAAACATTAAAATAGTTATTTCATTTTCTGTTCCTCACTTCTGATTACCTTCAGTGGTGTCTGTTTGTTGCAACCACCATGTACAAAAACTAACTTGTTTTTATTTGACTATTTTTCTGTCCTGCCTGTTTATTATCTTCCTGCATCTCCTCTCAATCCTAAAGAGAAACTGCTACCTGGGTTCATATATATTCACCTTATGAGTTACCTTTGAACTGCAGTTCTAAAAGATCTACCGACCGCTAAAACAGCGGAGTGCTCGCCAGCCGCACCGGTGAGGTGCGTCACCGGAGGACAAGGTGATGCGCCCCGATCCACAGCAGCGAAAAGCATCAGGCACAAATAAAAGACAGAAAACATTAAAGGAAATGAGCCGACATGAACGATCGCGTGTTAAATTAGTTTTTGAGGTGGCGCCACCTGATTTGATAATATTACTGTGGCCGTGCTCAGGACACAAATGTCTGGAGCGCGTCAACGATCAGAGCTTTGCATGCACAAGCTGGTTAAGGTTAGGATGGGGGTGAGGGAAATGTTAAATTGCAAGAGGTCACAATTTGGTTAAATGTCCATTTTACCGCGGGTGTCAGTACCGACGCTCTGGCACAGCGTGTTGCCTCCCCGAGCGCAGGAGCTCGTCACCTGCTGTCTTTTCCGAGGGCTGCATCTTGTCGCTCATTATCACGTGACAGCGACTAGTCAATGACAGGCATAAAAAGTCACTACAGAGCAGTGACGTCGACTAGTCCATACAACCTCTAGATTGTGTTGTAAAGCACCTGGGGGGGGGGGGGGGGGGGGGGGGGGGGGGTTGGTTCCAGGACTCTAGAAGGCGTCGTATCAAATACAGGCTATTTACCATTTTTACCATTCATCAACCTCCATTCATAATTGGGGACTGCATTATGCCTAACCCTAACCATTACCTGTCTATTCCGAACCCATTCCTATTACCAGTCTAAATCATGCTAAATGAACTTATTTGAACGTTTGACCATGTTTTATTGTTACTTCTTTATCACAATCACCCTCATTGTGTTTTTTGGCTTCATGTGTGCATCCTGCTGATCTGCAATCAGCTGGATGGAGCTAGTTTGCATCACCTGTCCTGCCCTTCCCATCGTGGAAGTATCTAACCAGCACGCTCCTCCCCAGTATTGTACACACTAATGCCCACTCTCAACAGGTTGCCAGCGGCAAGCGGGTGATTTAGTCTTTGCAGTCTCCCAAGAAGTGATTTCTTTCTTTTCTAGTCTGCAATTTTGACAATGCATTGAACACAAGAATGTGTTTTCAGCTGCAAAAGGTACAGGAATTAGTTCAGTCATCCTAAACAAGAGTTTAAGCAATAGAAATTAAGACTGGGAAGTTGCTGCCATTTCAGCGTGTGAATGTGTGTTTATGTTGGTGGGCTGCTTGATTCTTTGGCAGAAAATCTCCAGCGTGTGTGTGTGTATATGTCTGTGTGTATGTGTAAGACAAACAGTCAGGAAGGTGGAGGAGGGCCTGTCAGAGAGTGTGAGCCTGTATGCTTGAGGGGGGCAGATTCACTAATGAGTTGCATGTTAGACCTGACCGCCAGCACTCATTGAGAGAGTCAGTTTGGCAGCCAGGCAACCAGGAAATTTCCTGGTGCGCCTGATGGCCAGTCCACCACAGCTTACCTCTTCTACGTATTCTGTAGAAGCTTGAAAGGTCAGAGGTCACTTTGCTAGGGATACAGCTCTGGATAGCGAGGCTATTCAGCGTTGTACGCTATAACCCAGATATGAACAATACCATTTAAGGGGTCTATATACATGCCACACGTGAAGTTTGGAACCATGTTATTCTGAAGGAATGCATGTTTTTTTCCCATCACTCCAAAACATTATCACTGAGTTAAATGTTTCTGTTCCACAAAAGCTTTCAGTGGCTGAAACAATGCAAGTCATCATTATAAGCTGGTGGAAAATCCACCTTCAGCCTAATTCTGCAAACAACTGTAATATGTTGACATAAGCTTTTTAATGATGCTAATTTCCAAACCCACTACATGCATTGTGTTTGCGCATAGCTTCTATGTATTTTTAATTGTCCATTATACATAAAGGCTATGTGATGATTACAGGACATCCATAGTACAAAAGAATTACTTATTTTCAGACACTATGACACCCTAGGGTCTGACTGAACATTGACATGTAAAGTCCTGATAATTATGGCTGTCACTGCTGCTTATTTTAGAAAAGGTATGCAGCCATATTCTAACATGAATATGTGAGCATCATTTGACTCTTGTGGTGAGTGCAACACACTAGATGGCTTATGTAACATCTCGTTTAGGAGACAATAAGGACAACTCTAAGAGCTAAAATCAGGTCATTTGAAGGTAATGTTCATGTTAATGTTCACTTTTTTCATCCAGAGAGTAAAAATACAACAATAATATGTAAAATTAGGAAAAGACAGCCACCCGGCACATCAGCTGTTCTCCTTGTTACCATCTGGCAGACGTTACAGGAGTCTGTCTGCTCGGACTACAAGACTTAAAAACAGTTTCTATCATCAAGCCATACGACACCTCAACCACAACACCTAAACACACACAACACAGGACTCAGAAGCTACCCTGCAGCTTCACAAGTACTATATTTAATCCGTACTGGTCACTTCACTTTATTGTTATTGTAATTTATATCCAAAGTGCAACACTGTAATCTATATCCTGCATAATTTATATCCTGCAATACTGTAATTTATATCTAAAGTGCAATACTGTAATTTTCTGCAGCTCATTCCTGTGCAATATCCCATCTGCCCTCCCGTCATATTTCTTTTCAGGATTTTCTTTATTGACACATATATATTTAGTCATCTTTTCCCTTTTACCATGTCTCTCTAATATTTTGCTCCTTACTATATTTTTTTGCTTTATTTTATTATATTTTTATTATATTTTATTATATTTTCTCCTGTATCATGTTGCTGAGAGACCGCTGCTCGTCATACACGTTTCATTGCAATGTTGACCCTGTGCTAACTTGCATATGACAAATAAACTAAAACTGAAAACTGAACTGAACTAAACCTGTAACAGAAATGTATTAAATAAACAAGCAAACAAATAAATAAATAAAATCTTAAAAATAAATTAAAAAAACAGACTCCAATTACAGTATTGTCTATAGTACATTATAGAGTGAGTTTCCCCAAATTAAAGTTCTGCTGAGTTGGAAAGATCTGCCATCTGTTCCCTTTAGGACACCACAATACTGACGTATGTGTTTATTTATTACAAGAAAATTGGTTGAGTGAAATCTGTAAAAACACAATCTGTATATTTTAGTACCCGCACGGCATTCTCTTGATTTTGTCTGAATATCAGGGCTGCAGAGTACAAATGCTTTTGTTTATTTTGAAGTATTACGTGTATAATATTTATTATGTAAAACACTCTTAGTGATTGGATTTCAAGATATTTTAAACTTAT